TAGCTGAGCGTTTACAATTTTCTCGTGGATACACAGGGACTGTAATGAGAAGCTTAGCTTGATTGAAATTATTTGAAAGGAAAGACTTAGTGTGGGGGGGCATTTATATCAACTTCCACGAGAAATGTCAAAATTTCCATTTATTGCACTTACACTGCCCAGCATGATTTTCCATCGCGAGGGTTAACAGAATAAACCGCCGCTATTCAGCGCGTCGCCCATTATCTACCAGAGAAAACAAACTGGTCATCTCTCGTTGCGCGCATTATGTCCGGGCTGTCACGGTTGTAGAGGATTACACGTCGATTACGAGGCGCAATTTTAAACCCTCTCCCTCTTGCAGCCTGCACTCGCCGCGTCTCTCTGTCGCTCGCTACGCGTCGCAACCCTTTGTGGGTTACTCTATGGTTTTACAATCAGTCACCCATGCTGTGACACGACCGATGGGTCGTCGTCTACGAAGGGGTTGCCTCCTTTCGGAAAGCGGATTACGCTCGTCTCTCGCGTTTCTCTTTTTACCAGTTCTCACTTCACGCCGAGCCGAGCCACGACACCGGCGAACTCGACGTCTGCCATTTCTCGCGTGATCGATGGACCCCGGGTCAAACCGATCGCGTATCTTCCTTCGACGATCCTCTCTTCCCTCGGCCGATTATGGCTTTACACATTTCTCGGATCGCCGTGGTGATTTTTATCCGTCATTGTTTACGGGGCAATCCTTTCTTTTCCAGAAGGCGTGCTCGGGTTCCGAGGGGTGAGAAGTTATTGCTTCTAAAGCAATAGTCACGAAAATGACACGCTGCGACTTTTACGAAACTTTGCACCGCATCTCTTCTGCGAATTTTGCGTGTTGGAGCGTCACATTTGTCGTATAATCTTAATATTAAAAAATGACAAAGTTAGTGCGTTAAGCATCTTCAGATGTATTTGTTAAATAATTAATTTAAAACCCAATTCACATAAACATCTAAATAATTTATCTAAATGTCTCTCTATATAATTGAAATGTTATTTTTAATACATAATATCATACATTTGTTATATTAAGATAGTTAAAACTTTAGATTCTAGCTCGATAGTGTAGAGAGTAGCGTCGCAATAGTTTCGTACAGCGACAGAGAGGACGACCAGTTTCTGGACACTGCTTCGCAAATCGCTGCAGTTCCCTTTCGGACAAGACGTGATCTCTCGATACGTTCGGGACATACTCGATGCGGGAATACTCGGGGTGCCGCGAAAGTCCCGCCGTCCCCCAACCTCTGCGCTCTGCAAAGGTGCCCCCGGCTTTTTTTCTAGTATGAATGATGATGTATGGATGCTGGCTCTGGGCACCGGGGGCACGGTAAAGGGTTCCATTGTTGCGTCCTCCCCTGGAGAACGAACCCACTCTGCCCCGCAGGGGAGACCTTCGTGAAATATTACTGCCGAGCAACAAACTGCATTCTGCAGGCTGTATACTGTTAATTTTATGCCCGATTTTTTGCCCACTCCATCTAACTCCACCCCTCTTCCTCACCTCGTGGCCCTCGCTTTCTTGGCGGCCATCCCTCGACGTTGTTACACAAGAGTTCGCGATACGAAGTGCCAATAATAATAAATATTCATCGACTTATTCTCAGAAACTGCATCGAAGGAAGCTGTGCAAAATAATATCGATCCTTGTAGCTTCTAAACGAATACTGTGTGCATCGTAAAAACAATTTTGCAATACACGTATGTTGCAAAATTTTGATACAATATTATATGGTTACACTTATTAATAACTTTACTGCTTAACAACCTCATTCTACAAAAACCCTGATTTATAAAAATTTTAACTACGACTATAAAAGAAATTATATGCGAATGTATGTATGCGAAATGTGATAAATTACGAATGCAAGTAGATGAAAGGGAGTTTGTTACGTATATCGACATGCATTATTGAAGCAAGTACCTTCCAATATTTTGGGCTTCAATCGAACCCTTCGTCTGAAAGAAAGAGTAATCTGAGAAATCGGGCAAATCGGGCTCCGCGAATCGCGAGAACAATGCGAGACCGCAATTAATAGCGCCTGTAATCGGATGCACCCTGCGCTCTCTATGCAAATTCGATCGGACACGGTTTTAGAGATTCGCCTTGGCCCTTCTCGTCTGCGTCAACAATGCGCCGACTTCGCCGACAATGGGAAATAATAAACCGTGATAAATAGCTGAGCAAATACATGTCTGCGATCGCTCGCTGTCTCTTCTCTTCTCTCTCTCTCTCTCTCTCTCTCTTTCCTCTGACTGTTCTGAATTCCAGGTGCGGCCTCTCGAATTCTAAAATAAATACGCTCGGCAAATACACGGGGTGGCCCGTGCCGGAATAAACGAATACCGGTATTAACTTCTCCGCTTACGCTGTAAATATCGAACTCGATTTGTCGCCCGAAGGAAAATCGAAATATTCGCGCGCGGTTGAGATACGCGTTGCACATATCAGCCTTAACTTTTAACACCGTGGTTCTATTATTTTTTGTTCTATTGATATCATAACTTAATTATGCGAAGTTAAATACATTGTTTTGCGAACGTGTTTCAATCTTATTTACTTTGACTCTTACGGCCTCGACTTACTTGTGATTGATTTATTTTATATTCACTCGTTCGTTCGCATTAATGAAGGTATATTAGTAAAATGCGACCAGATTTCGGTGCATTTAAATCGGGCCAGGTGACGCCGTCGGGATAAAATCCGAGACGGTTTTAGGAGGGCCGAAACTTGAAGAGGCAGCACTAATCAAAAGTGGTCCACGGAGACAGATTGAGGGGCGTGCTGAAATAAATCAGTCTTTTGTTTTACAGCCCTAAAACGGCCGTTGGGAATATATGTATATACAGAGCGCGAAATGACGTCCATTCATTAAAACGCCCCAGCTGCGAGATCGAAAAGACTCCTGGTACCGATTCAGCGGCTCCGGGCAGCGCGATTAAATAATCTCGCCTATTGTGACAGTCATTATTTACTACGTACTCTTATTTATTGCTCTCGTGTGCAACGTGTAAAATTTATTGCAGCGTACACTGCGCTTAACGTTGGACTTAACATCTGGACTTTACCAATTTGGAAAGGGAAAAATATTTTGAAACGAAAAATAATTAGGTAATGATATCAAAAAAGTTGTCCATATAATGACTGCCCTTAAAATTCTTCCCAATATGAGATAGAACATCAACTTCGGACCTTCTGAAAAGCTTTGAATATCCTGAATCTACTTCCTCCGCCCTCACACAAGTTCTAATTTCTTTATTCCTTTCCCCTTTTCTCTTTTATCCTCTTTCCTTTTTCTCGTAACATTGTCACCCATGTCGTTTATCTTTTATTCCGTATTCTGCTAATGTCATCCATACCGGTCAATTAACACGCCAATTCTAAGTATGTATCCTTTTCCTTTCCCGGCCCATATGGCACTAATTTTCAACAGTCAATTTTGATTGTTACAGCTTCCATTAAAATGTATTGCAATTTATACGTTTGCGTCGCTTTATATGTACGATCGTCTCAACAACTTGTTTTATATTTTATCTCATGGACGGCGTAAATTTTTGTATTATTCGCATACTAGCTTTTACGTATTAATTTCTTTATTTCATTTCACGCACTGAAGATGGTCCAGTTCGTGACCGAAACGTCTGTACTTAATCTAATAAAAATCTTTGACGCCGTAACTCTGTCTAGGCTCTGAGCCCATTTCACAGTTTGATTTTTATTATACGAGCCATTGCTATTTCTTTTTAATATCTTACTTTTTCAAGATAGTTTCCCCTTTTCTTACATTGTATACGTCCTGTAGACAGGAAACATGAAGTAAAATCTTACAACTAGCTCATGTGCCTCATTTGTTGCCTCGTTAAGAAGATTCAGTTATGTGGAGCGAAATTAGCGAGCGGAGATAACGCGAGTTGTATCTGAACAGCGCGCAGCGGGGCGAAGATGCTTTCTCGGCGGAGAAGACAGTCTGTGCACTTTGACACAACGGCCCGTAGATACAGATACTTACAAGAGGATCGCCTTTGCCGCCTTTCAGTCACCGTTATCGCGAATCCGCGAGTGTCACAAATATTTCAAATCCGAATTGTCATTGCAATTGTGTGTGCGTGCGCGTGTGTGTGTGTGTGTATGTGTGTGTGTGTGTGTCGATCCTCTCGCTCGATACGCGATACAACCGACACGAAAAGCAGAGTTCGATTGCGATATAACAACGGTAATAATAATATATGATATCTGAAGCTGTTAACCCTGCTCCAGATATTTCCATCGCAGAGGAGAAAACGTGTTGAGTTTGATTTATTCGCTCGCTATCGCGAATTGATTTAAAATATTTTCATTTTCACCCATACACACGCGAGTTCTCCGCGCATATTTTGAAATCATACCGTTCAATAATTGTTTTAATGCAGAATTATTTTTATCTTAATTAAGAAACGTATAAATTAAAGAGCATAATTCAATTCAGCGAGACAATAATTACTTAAGCTGCGATTGTTGCATGAGTAACATACAAAGTAATACACTCGTAAGCGTAATCTAGACACTTATAATGAGGTCTTATGAATCATATATTCTATATATAGAGATATCGGACTTAAATGCTGCAATACATTTGAGTCTGAGTTGTCTAAAATAGTTTAGCATTACAATTATGTTACAATCTGAAAAACATTTAGAAGTTTTTCACTTTAATTATCTTGATCGCTAATAAAACAATCAAGTTAGAATTATTAATTTTTATATCAATGCTTTTTAATAAAGCATTTATGATAGGCACAAAGGTAGGTAAATATTTCAAATAACAACAGTTCCGGCAATCAATAAATAAAGAAATATTAAAAGGGCCACGTTTTTACATACCTCTCAACATTTACTGAATATTGTAGACGCTTTGACTTTGATAAAAATTTTTAAGATACGAACACCTGATCGTTCCAAACCTTCTTTTAATATTTGTATATTTCCAAGTATTTGAGAACAATCTTTCTAATTTTAACATGTTGTAATTATCCGACAGCATTTTCTGATTTAATCCTTTACCTTTGATGGAATATCGATAATGCCTATCAACGATATCCTAGTGCATGCAGGATGAAAAAGTGTCGTGAAGTATAATTATTGCGCGGGCGCGGGTCAATAATTCGCCTCGTTGCCTGGCGACGGTTTTCCTACTCTGCACCTCTGGAACAACCGGCGCGAAGTGCTCCTCTCTTCCTTCTCCAGCTGTCACTCCAGACTCCAAACAGAAGCCGAGCAGCCTTCAACACAGTGCTACCAGGAGCGAAGACGAAGATCTTATCTTCCAATTTCGGCGGCTGACTCCTCACAGTGTCATCTTCGTTCGTGAAGAGAACTAATCAGGTATTAAGTGATTATGATTCACGCTTGAGCTTTCTTTCTTTTGTCCTCTAAAAATCTATGCATTTGAAACCGCCTCGACTCTTTCTGGAGGGAGAAACACGTGACGAGTGTGCAATTCTGCATGCGCGAGAATTGTTTCGATAATCGTCGCACGTGCGATTTTCCTGAATCATAACTGCATTGCGGCTTACGAAATGGAGGCGTCAATTTAGGAGTGTATTGAATTTCTTTGATATTAATTTACTCGTTAATTCAACGCGAAGGTGTAATTTTTTAATTTATTAAAATAGCGTATAAATAAATTGAATGTTGCTTAATATTATAAAATTGCTTCGACAAACGTCCGATTTACTTGTCGGCAGCGGCCACAATTCATTCAATCGCCATTACATCACAACTACAATAGTTTCCTGTTACAAATTAACAGAAGTATCTAGAAAAGTTCATTATTCGTGAATGCTCGTTCTTTAAATAATCAATATATTCCAGATTGCTATTGCCTTCTTTATATAAATTTAAAAAATTTCAACGTCTCACGTAATGAGCTATTGAATAGAATAATTATTTATACATGTTTCTTGCATTAATTGTTTTCATAATTATCTCTTATTTTACAAATAGTATAAAGTTTTACTAGTATTATATTATATTTTATCATGCTTTCATTTTTTTACAACTATAATTCCTTATTATTGGTTGCAAAACTTTCTTGTGTTGAAAATGACTAACAATAAGTAAAGCCGAAACGTATACCTAAAGTTCAATATTTTAGAAAGCAACAAACAGGTTTTGTCTTATATGAATATCTTTAATTTACTCGTGCCGTTACTATTTAGTATATTACAGTTACTATTTAGTATAAAGTTCACAAAAAGCATGCTGACAAGAAAATAAAATGCTTAACATTGTTTAAAAATATTAAAATAATTTAGTTCAGACAGTTTTGTCTTGTCCTTTTAATACTCGACATCACATTTTTAGTCTCCAAAATTCATTTCGATGACTTCAAAAAATTTTAATCCACACTTTCTCGTCCTTTCAAGCTGTTGGATATATATCTTTAAATCTGGTTGGAAATTTTACTTTTGGATTATTCTTCCGAGCCTTGTTTTCAACTTTCTACAATTCGTCATTTTAACATTAAATTTCAATGTAAAGACCCTTATATAAATGACACGCCGCATAAACGTTGTTACATCTTAGCTGTAGGTTTTTCTTATGTATACTAAATGTTACTATTTGAAATTTTTATAATACACTGACGATGATCTTATTATAGATTGAAACGTAGAGGAAAGTCCCCGATTATGAGATAGGCTTCTAATATGATCAATAAGCATCATCTCTTGGTTCCACTATAAATTTATTGCCCTTGGAGTGACATCTGTTTAGTAGAAAATTGATCGTCAGATCGTGTAATCGTTGCGAAAAAAGATTTGCGATTGAATTTGGACATTAAAAATCTACTAACTCACATTAGAATCCTATTTCATAATAGAGGATTTTCCTCTATGTATTATTTTTATAAACTGAAGTTTTTAACACGTGTATCAGTGTCTGGTTCGTCAGCTACTTTGAACGTTATTTATTTTATATGTATTATCGAAACTTCACCACACGATAAGTTGTTTTAATTATTCGTTGCCACATTTGTGAATTCAATCATATATTTTATATTCTTTATTACTTAATGCAATTTTTAGTGCTTCCTCAATTTTAACAACTTCAGGTAAGATTAGAAAAGCAAAATGATTCAAAGATAAAATTAATTAGTAATCTGTTGTTTGCTTGCAGAATTTGGTAGCGGTGGTATGTGGAGGGAAAAAGATGAGCCGACGAAAAATGCGTCTACAAGCGATGGATCACGTGTGAAAAATGTTATGAAATTCGTATCTGAGCATTGGTCATCATTTAATAATAATCTCGAAAGACTATGTGGTTTGAAAATAAGTGATGTGTCGAGTTTCGAGAAATTCACTCAGTTTCTATATCGCCCGACAGATCCGGCCAGTCTGGGCATGGCCAGGGCTTTATTTGGTAAGCCAATATGATAATTATGTTTTACATAATTTCTGTAGTAAGTTATCGCGGTGTAATCGTTGAATATTTTCATACATTTGCCGGAGACCTTGCAATTAAAATGATTAGATAAGATAATGGTAAAAAATAATTACTTTGTTTTAATTACAAATTTATTTTTATCGCAATAATATGTTATTAGCGTTAAGGCTGAAGGAATCTTTTTATGAGTTAATTTTCCATAAATCAACACCTTGGCTCATCGCTGTTATCATGCAGTTTAATCCTACTCATTGCAACACTTTATAAACGGAGTGGAGAATTTGAATTGTAAGAACTAGACACGATTTAAGACCTATTAAAGCAGTCATGAGAATTAATGGCTCGAGCCAATAAAAGCACGACCGTGATTCTATATAGCCCGTAGAAAAAGTGTATTACTTACGAACGTCTTTATCTTAATAACGTTTGTGCAGTGTACAATCAAGCTCGATTGAATATTTTAGAGTTAACATTTAAGGGTATTTTTGAGCAGAGACAAATCTTTCCATATCATTTATAAAGCGATTTAAATCACAGGTAGTCCAATCACTTTTTCGATCTGTCTGTAAAATTGCAGTAGTCAACATCGTGAAAATCCAATGACAAATCTTTTCCCAGGTTTGTGCATGGTGATAGACGTCGTCGAGGAAAGAGGATTCGCAGACGTCGACGTAAAATGGGGAGATCCGTGGGACTGTCACTTCCCATTGATCCACGGGATGAAAGCACCTTCGCTGCCGTGGATGATTGTGATATATACCGTGATGTGGATAGGTGCCTTCGGAATCGCACTCGGTTTGTATTTCAAGATCGCGTGCGCCTGCTTCGTGTTACCTTACTGGTACATCTTTCTGCTGGAAAAGAGCTATTGGAACAACCACACCTATCTCTACGGCATCGTGGCCACCTTGTTCTGGGGAACGAGAGCGAACAAATATTTGTAAGTCAAGCTCGAGCGCGCGTCTGAGCTCCATAATTCTCTTAACATATACATCAATCTCCCGTTTATGTGCCATCGTTTCTTAGCGCGTTAGACGCAAGTAATGCGAAACGGAATGGGGACTCTGTGCCGTACTGGAACTACTTCATCTTGAAATTTCAATTCTTCACGCTTTACTTCTTGGCCGGCTTGAAAAAGTTTGGCTGGGAATGGCTCGAAGGATACTCCATGATGAATCTGTCCAGACACTGGGTGTTTCATCCCTTTAAGTGAGTGGAATTCACATTATTCGAAACCAAGTATAATACAAAAATTGTACGAGTTATTCTGGCGAACAAAACGTGCGTTGTTGTAAAATAAGGACAGGATCGTTTCCCAACTGACATGTATATCAAGAAAAATTATTTCTTTCAGAATATTTTTGTCGACCGAGCAGATCGACTTTTTAGTCGTCCATTGGTTCGGTTTTATCTTCGATCTGTCCGTCGGATTTTGGATGCTGTTCGAGAAAACACGTATACCGTCCATGATTTTTTGCACAACTTTTCATTTTATGAACTCGAGACTGTTTAGCATAGGTAATTATTATTTGGAACAAACAGAAATTTTGGATGACTCTTAATAAGAACGTTAAAAGATTTTTCATGTGCTATTATTTGTATAAAATTTTAACGAAAGACTTTAGAAAAGATCTTTCCAGGGATGTTTCCGTATGTGTGCCTGGCAACGATGCCGCTCTTTTGTCGCGTAGACTGGCCACGTAGATTAAGATTGTACTTTAGACGAAAGCAAAAAGTTTTATCTGTTAACACAAATACAATCGACGCAAGTGAGACTGATAGTCAAGCAAAAGAACCTATGAAGCTCAGCTGCTTATTGCCTTCAAGTGAAATCGCATGTAATGAAGCAACGCATGAAGGTAAATAATATTTTTTTACAAGACAATTTCAATGCGAGCTTTAAAATATTCACAACTATTTTCAGAGAAAACAACGAGCGAGGAAGAAAATAAAAATTATATTGTTAAATCAGAATCCGAAAAGGAAATCGACGAAAAGGACAACGATACACAATTACTTAAGAATTCGATTGAGCTCGATGAAAAAGAAACGAGTGTTTATAAAAAGATTCGAGTGGCTCGGCAATCACCGAAGGCTACAAGAAAACAAAAATATGTGGCGTCGCTATTGCTGTGCCACATTGTACTGCAATTCTTTTTGCCATACTCGCATTTCATATCGAAGGTATCAAGTCTATTATAATATTATTACATTATATCGTATCACACTTCAGTATTCACACAAATAGAGGAAAGTCCTCTATTATGAGATAGGATTCTAATGTGAGATAGTAGGTTTCCAACGTCCAAATTCAATCACAAATCTCTTTTCGCAACGATCTAACAATCAATTTTCCACTAAACGGAGATTTCACTCCAAGGGCAATAAATTCATGGTGGAACCAACAGACGATGTCTGATTAATTTAGCAGAAACTCCGCTATCTCATATTAGAAGGCTATGTCATAATAGAGGACTTTCCTCTAACAATCATCTTTCTAAAATGCGTCGATATATTTATTTTCTCGATTATATTAATTCCGCAAAATTATATATAACGACTTTAATTGCAAGTCTTTCTGAATTAGCCGTATAATCGTAAAAATATATACGTTCTGCACCGTAGGGCTACAACAATTGGGTACCTGGCCTATATGGTTATTCCTGGGACATGATGGTTCATGCCTGGGATACTATACTTGTGGTGATCAAAGTGCATGATAACGCGAACAACAAGATACGATATTTAGATCCTAACGCGTGGGTGCAAGGAGATCGATGGCTGAAGCACGGAGACATGGCGTTGCAATATTCGCAATGTTTAAAGGTTTCAAAGCGCCGCAAATAAACGGCTAAAATTCTTAACAATTTTTTCTCCAATGCCATATTATTATATATGAAGCTATTTATCTTGTTAGAATCAAATACTGGTGTTTTATAAATTCAGGATAATCTGATGCGTCGAAAGGAGGAAGCGTCGAGGATCGATCACCAATCTGAGGATAAGGAAAAGTGGATGAAGCTATCTACGAATTTAAGCATTTACATGGACGTGTGGTGTTCGCTAAATGGCAGATTTCAACAGAGAATATTTGATCCGAACGTCGATATGCTGACAGTCGACTGGCACCCATTTAAATCCGTTTCGTTTTTAATGCCATTACTCACGCAATATAATTCGTATCGGTATGTCTACCTCCATATAAATTAATTTATTAGACATAATATGACAGTTAAGAGAATTTTAGATAATTTTTCATAAATTCTCTAGTTACGCGTCAATTTTCTTATTCTAACAATTTTATTTTTCATGGCTTTCAGGCATAAAATGGATGAAATTGAGCAGCATGTATTCACGTGGTCGAATTATACGGATGTGTTGTTCGTGGCTGACTTTCCAGGCTTGTATTTGGAAAACTACATATCCACCGATTTCTCAAACATTTCTTTAACGGTGCTGGAAGGTGAGGTGATTTACAGCGAAGAAGAATCGACAGATGTGGTCACTGTGTCGAAGAAAAATTCAATTCCCGTCGAAACGGGGAAGTTCCATCGAATTAAAACTACGAGTTCTTATCCAGCATGCTATATGTACACTTATACGAATCAAACGAAACAATTGGTTAACGAAAGGTAAATACCACATTTCATAAAGTTATAATAAAATATGTATATAACAAGACACACTACTACTTATAAAAATATCAAAATTAAAATATAAAAGAAAATTTCTACTAAAATTTTGTAATGAACTACCACCATTCAACATATGCATTCATGAAACTAAATGTTTTGATACGCCTTAGTAAATGCAACAAATTCTACAGATTTTTACGCAGTGTTTATACTCGTAATATATGACTTATATTATATATTTTATAAGCTAAGGAAATAATCGATTATTAAAAGAAATAAAATTAATCAAACTTCTATAGGTTACGTAATAAAAGTCTGAAGTAAAATCAGTCTCTTTTAGAAATTATACAGTTTGTCTTTCTTCTTTTCAGAAACGAATCTCCTTCAGCGAAAGAAAACACACCATGGTTGTTAAAACAAATCAATTACAAAACTACTGCATGGATAAAAACGTTCGTCCATATAACAAATGCCTTCTTAAACTTGGTATATGACGTTCCTATGGTGCGACGAGTACGTATTAGTAATGAATGAGAAAAAGTTGAGATTACATCAACACCTGTTTTAAGATATTTAATTATTCTTTAGCATCTTTCCATGGAAAAATTAATCTTTTACTAACAGTTATTAACTTGTATTAGATTTTATTATCAGAGCTTACTAATTTGAGAATTTAGTAAGTTAATGAAAAATTTGCAGTAAATAAATTTGTAGTTAACATATACATAATTAATTTATATATCAATTGTTCTTAAATTAAAAGTTTAAAAATATTTTTCCAGAGTATTAAAATGCAATTTTAAATATATTTTTAATTGTTGAAATAATTTAATCATTTGAGTAATTTTAGGAAAAATTATTTATTTATATAAAAATATACTATTGTTTTAAATATATATACATAATGTATGCACAATATATACATATATATATGTAAATGTACATTGTTATTATAGAACGATAATATAGCAAAAAGTTATTTTTATTATTTTTATATTACACAAAATGTGATAAAATGCATTATCTTGTTGAACATTAATGTGATAATCTATTGTAACTTGAAATAGAATTGTTAGACTGATATTTGATCGATTTCAATATCTGATTTAGCAACTTAAAAATAAATTTATACACCTAATTTGTAAATGTACTAAAAACAAAATTTTATATAGTTAACAAATTATTCATATTCTTTTATCTACCGCACGCAGCCTTGTAGACATTTAGAATTAAATGTTAACCGTTATTAAAATTTGGTGTATCAATCTTTGTAATTTGTTTGAAAAGTACTGAAACCGAAGGTTCCTTGCCGCTGAAGGGGGACCGGAGGCAGGGCGTTAGTTACCTTAATATATTGAGAGAGCAGCTTACGGGAAGAAAACACAAATATAAATGATGCGAGAAGGAAATCAATTTAATATGCTGCCAATCTAAACTTGATGGCGCAACGCAATTCAAATTCAATGAAACAACATAAATTGATGCTCAAGTGAACTACATAAACAGATACATGCATGCACAAATAAACATAAAATGATTCATATAAGAAACAAGACAATTCGTATAATAAACAAGACAAACATGGAATTATTATGTCATAGACAATGGCAATTATATCTTTAGAATTTAGAAGAATAATATAAGGTCAAATACGAATTAACACGCAGACTGAGTATATTCAAGAAAGCAACTCAGGTTTCTTAGCGGATAATGTTATCGAACAGAAAAAACCCATAAAAGGATACCGTAATATTGATATTACACAACAACGCGGAGAATGAAGAATTAAGAATTGTAGCAAGAGCAACACTATATAATCAATGTGAATAAATAAGGAGAACAAATGTCCTCAGCATTCAGACGCAATTTATAAACAATAGTAAACAAAAAGTAAAAATAAAGTTTGCTTACACGAAAAAGGAAGTTAATTATTTCTACACCACACATTATTTCATACTTATAGACTTTCAATAATACGCACGGAAAAAAATAATTTTGCTATTGCAGCAAAACTGTTGCTGCTATTTAAATACTGCTATATTTGATAATAAGTGATGACAATACGAAAATTGCTTTATTATACCTTATTAAAATTATTCACCATTACAGCAGAACGTTTAATAGAACAGAAATTATTTTACTTCTTTAGCTAAATATTTCGCACAATTATTTTTCAATAAGATTAGTGTTTTTAACACATACACAAAGTCCGCATTGCCTGATATTTTAGATAGACTTCTTAAATTTTTACACGTCAAACGAGCTTCCTTGCCCGAGCTTGAGTTGAACAATTGCTTTGGTATACTTGACTCATGTTCTTTATTTGCATCATTATCAATAACTTCGTGTTCTTCTACATTCATGCGTTCTGGCATTTCAGACTGATTTCTCAAACCACGCGTCAAACGAGTTTTCTTAACACCATCTGATATAGGCTGCGGTCAAGCTGCCGCTACAAATGCTTCGAAGCGTTTCTCTTCTCCTTTTATCTTTATTGAAAGAAAGGAAAAGAAGAACACTTCGAAGCACTTATAGCGGCAGTTTGACCGCAGCCTTAGACAATAGCTTAGATATATTTGAATCATGCTTTTCATTTGTATCACTGTGCAAGTTGGCCGCTCTCAGGTTTCTCTCTGTCAATGCACCATGTTTAAATTATCTAACGTAACTTATCTAATGCCGATAATACCGTAAGATAAATTACCGATTGCCTGCAATGTAGGAATCGCCGATAATTAAAGTTCACCACGAAAGAAATATGTATCGCAGTGCAAATATCAAATATATACATATTATTACAATTTTGACACTTGCAATTTTTTAATAGTAAATTAAATTTTTTTTTGTATTAATTTAATAATTATCGACATTTGAGCTTTACCGACCGTTGCTACATCGCTACAACAATTCGGACCTTTCTAAGGTTTGAAAAAACGATTTTCTAGAAAATGTATCAACGATGAATTATGTATTGTCGAAATGTGTCATGCACCTTCATTTATTAAATACATTCCGTTATCTATAAACATATATACATATATTATCCGCATTATGTACTTTCTACACTTGAAATGACGTAGTATCGGTCCCTGTTTAGATCAGACGGAAACGAGAGAATAGTTTCGGCAGTACTGGAGCCGACTAGGATCCAGGAGCCAATAAAAGAGAAGAAGAGGAAAACGAGAGAAAATTCCAGAAACAGGTCGCAAATAGACGCGTCCGCTCCGTCCACTCGTCCTGTCTTCCAGCGGCGAGCCACACGCGTCTTCACGCGACTGTAAATACCTCAATCATAACGGTGAGTCTAAATTTAACTTTCTCGTATTGTCAAATCGTTTCCCCGCGCCCTCAATTGCTCTCAATCAATTCGGGCTAATCGGTAGTCGTATTTTAAGCTGGTTATACGTCTACGAAACAAACGCCGAACGAACAGCAAACGCGAACATTTGATGTTATAATTCGGCACGACGTATACGCCGAAGCAAATGCGAACAGAATGTTCGATTCGCTGCTGTTCACTCCTCTTCGCAATAACCCATATATGTAACACTTCAAGTATCTAATACTATCTAATACTATCTAATACCATAACCCATCGTAATCGCATTGTTCGTTCGGCGTGCGTTTGTAGGTGTGTATCCAGGCTTCACGTTAATCCAATGTTACGCAATGTATGTTTTTCCCTTTTTAACTGTACCCTCGTCTCGACTTGCGCAAACAACTGCGCGATCGACAAAATAGCGCTTTGCTATGTGTATTGCATGTCACCGATATATCCTGAATGCCGTAAACACACGGTAACTACGCCGTGTACATTAGTTTATAACAATCTAAGAATACGCCTCTGACGTAGCGCTGCAGAAATGCAATCTAATTCGGGGAGAATGGCCACGATTTTGACGTGAATTTGTTAACGCAGCGCCAAGATTATTCGTCTCGTAAAAGCTTTCACCTAACCTCAATCGAATCTTGTGCAAGTTTCACGCCAAATAGAGGGGGAAAAAAGGCGTCTCTGTAGAGGAGGAAAAGAATTATGCAAGTTTCAGAGAAATTATCTAACGCGATCCGACTCTGATAGGTACGACTTTATTCGTACAAAACTGTTATAAGTCTACATATCTCACGATACCTCACATCGATGTTAATTAAAAAGAAAGAGATTTCAGGATATCCAGTCATTTGTCGCATTGTTAAAGACCGGTATTCATAATCAGGTCTTATGTTCAAGACCACCTTGAATTTATCTAAACATGCTGTATGGAACAATTCATTGGCCACGGAGTATCTAAATATGATCTTAAGACAGTCTTGAATATAAGATCTGACTATGAATGCCGGCCAAAAACTTGCAGTTTTATCCTGTAGCGCTCTACTCGGTTCATCTGATACATCACTCGGTACTGCTGGAGAATAATAATTACTTTTCCAGTTCTAGACGCTTTGTCGGTGGTTTTTAATTGCTGCACAAGATCGACCAGACCATCTCGATCAGAATATGGATCCAGCTCGGTCTGAAGATCCGAAAGCGGACACCAGGGCGGAGGATAAGAAACCTTTATTTAAGTTGGACGGGCCTGTTACTACAGTGTTAAATTCGTCCAACGTCAGTGCCAATGAGGAGGACAGCCTGTCTTTTGTAGTGCTTGGTAAAGATTCGGTAGAGGCTCAAGCTTCCTTGTTAGCTTCCTATGTTGATATCCAACAGAAGGGCATGTCAATCGTACGTACATTCGCAATTTGATCTTATCTCACAATTACCTGTTTGAAATGGGACAATAATAAAAATATTTTTACTCGTAGGACTACCAGACAATGGTGTCGTTGCTGAGCCCAACCGAGATGCAGTGCAGATTGACGGAAATGTTGCAAGAAAATGTGAAATTGAAGGAAACCTTGAGGCAGAACAACGAATCTATGAAGCATCAGTTTAACACCCTGACAATGTGGCAAGAGGAAGTGACTAAGGTTCATCAAAATCATAAGCAGAAGTTTGAGGAAACCAAAGAGCTTGTAAACCATCTCAAGCAGGAAAATGCGGAGCTGAAGACTACACTCTGGCGTTCGCAAAATGCCGAAGATATAGAATATAGGGTATAAATAGAAATGTAATATATATGTAATATATATGTTGCGCATAATTTCATTGTACATTTTACTTTTTCCAGGCGATTGCCATTTCTGAGTCTGATATTAATAGTGCGTCCACCAGTCGAGCAGAACCTGAGCAAAAAATGTCCAAACTAACAGACACAACATCACAGATGGCCATTAAAAAATGTAAAGAATGTACAACATCTGCAATGCCCGAAGAGTTTGACGAAGAGGATATACAACAAAACCTGCAACAAGTAATAGTGGAAAAGGAATTAGAGTCGGCAATGAAGTCGTTAAGTTGCAACGACAGTGCAAATGATGTAAAATCTATGGAAATTCTGAAATATTCGAAGATGTGTTCCGCAAAGGACCAGGAAATTGATTGCCTGAAAAAATCCATTGATCTACTTGAACAGAAGCTGCAATGTGTATGTTTCTTTAAACAAATTTTCACTAAAATATTTTTAGGTAATTAAAGACTAAAATTGAATTGTCTTTTGAATTTTGCAGGTTTTTACTCCACTTAAATTAGATTTATCAGAAACACCGTCAAATTTAAACCGTCAGAAATTGGTACAAAATTTGAAGCAATACAACGACATGTTGCATGAATTAACTGAATGTTTTACAACACAAATAGAACGCTTTGCTGTCATGGAAAAGTGTTTGAGAGAAATGACAGATATTTTTAGACTTGATAAATCTAATATGCAGTATGAAGACAAATTGTGTCATTGTTGCAAACAATTAGCTGACGAGCAAGTAAAAATGATCACTGATAGACAGATATTAATTAAATCACAGAACCAATTCCAAAAGATATTCTCTGATTACAATTCTATTGTGTACGAATTGGAAATAACTATTAACGAGAATACGAAATTAAATGTCTTAAATGATATTAGCGCCCTCGAGAATTCCCAAACATTAGAACAAGTGGAGCAGATTAAACACGAACAGCAATTATTTGAATCGGAGAAAAGAATTTTTGATCAAGAGAAAGATAGTCTAGAGAGAGAGAAAAAGTCTCTCGAAGACGAAAAAAAGAGTTTGGACGTGGAACGTGTATCATTGCATAATGAAAAAAGACTCTTGAAGCAAGAGATAACCTCTTTAAGTGAAGAAAAAATATCACTTGATCACCAAAGTCAATTATATGAAAATTGCGAAAGAGATCTGCAAAACGAGAAAAAGATATTGCAAGCTCGTTGTGAACAATTGCTGAACGAGACAAGTAGCTTGCAACAGAAGCTCAAAGAGAAGAATATAGAATATCAAAGTATATTGGAGCAAACCACACAAAGTGTGAGTGAATTTTTCCTTAATTTAAAGTACACATGCAAAATCTATACATGTATTACATCTTAAATTTCATTATTTTCATGATACTTTGTAGGCAGAAGAAATACATTTATTAAGAGCGCAATTATCGCTCTATGAAGAAGACTTTCAAGAGGAGAAGAAGTTGAAGGAAGCATTGCTAGAAGAAAAGAATAAATTGGATACAGAATTGCTAAAGCAAATAGAGTTTAACAAGCAGTTACAGGAATCTGCTAGCATTACAAATTCCAGCGGTAAGCCAAGCCTTACGTCTGAACATCAAGTAAGTTTAAATTCATTATGCCATGACGTTTTTATCTAAAAATAAAAATGACATCTCCTGCTTTTTATTACCACTAGAGCGGTGACAAATACGAGAGGCATGAAAGAGATGATAACGCCACTAGGCGAGAGAAGTATCGACAGTTCTTATCAAAACTGTTTTCGCGTAATTTGAATTAAATAAAATGAGTATTTAAATTGATTTCAAAATTGATAGACACGTAAATATATAAATAAGTTCAATTTTTTAAAGTATTTCTCTTTAATTCTATAATTGTATGCAACACTTTCAGTATAGTTGGTACTGCTAAGTTAGCTACTTTATTCCTCGATTCTTCTCTTTCTCTTTTCTTCTCTCTACTCTCAAGGTTACAGTGATGCTTTTTATTGGATTATTATAAGCTATATGTACACTTCACAATTGCTCAAAACTTACTTATTGTTAGTGAATCATATACGTATATGTATATGATTTAGTAGACTAAATTTAGACATGTTTTATCAATTTTATCCCAAATTTACCGTATGTAATAAATTTTAATTTTAATATTCACTATTATGTTTTACATACAATTCTTGAAAAGAATAATTCGCTGACTGTTCTAAAAAATGTGATTACATTGAGCTATAAGCAGATGGTGATAATCCAGGATTAACTTTAGTGTTTAGTGACTTTCTCAATTGGTATTTTTCGTTCCGTTTGCTAGAAGAAACTGTTTTAAGTTGCAAAATTGTAAAGAAATTAAGTATTACATATATGCATTTTTATATGATAAACTTTTTTTTCAATACAGAGTTCCTCTTTTTATTTTCTCATGATATCAGTATTATGTAGTTATTATTTAATTGTATTGTACAATTATTTATCACTTTTTAAATACACGAAACATATACATACACGAATAGAATTTATGGAATCGGCTCAACATTTGTCACAGCCCTATACAATTTTTTCCCCGAAAATTAATATTCGACACTACTGGCTATAATTAAATTAGAGAAAACTTATTGCGATAAAGTTTTGTTCTCAGCCAGAGTTTAAACCTGGACCTACCTTATATCGTGACGAGCATCTCACTAATTCGAACATTGAATCAATATTTATTGCAATAAATGTAAGTTTTCTCTAATTAAATTATAGCCAGTAGTGTCGAATAATATTAATTTACGATTATTTATCAACTGGTGAAGAAAAGATTATTATTCGTGTCTTTTTCTTTTATATAAAGGATCGATTCAATTTCCCGATTCTTTTATATAAAGGATCGATTCAATTTACCGAAGTGCGATGTGATATCGCAAAAGCATACTATAACAGTATACAAACATTTATTACTTAATTACAGAGCCACGTCATGACGGTATGTCCAAAATGCGCGATGCCATTTCAGAATTTAGCAGATTTGATGATGCATATTGAAAGATGCCTAGATTAATTGAACATATATAAGTATGTACACTAATCTGATTCTGGTAAGAGTGCAGTCTCATACAAGGAGATTTCGTATGATTATGGCACGCGAACTGATATGATGTGGTATCTCTCTCTTATATTATATTGAGGTAGGAACAGTTTTATGTAATAGACGGCTTTTAACATGATTATAGGAGAGACATAACATCTAACACATAAACCGGATACTTGTATAAAATTAGAATGGAATTAAAAATCTAATTTTATGCAAGTTTATGCAAGCGCTTTAAATCTAATTTTGATAAGACTGTGTACTATATAATATGCATATAATATAGATAGAAAACATAATGTTAGTTTATAATTAGTAGGAACACAGATTGGAAAAGTATTGAGATATTTTTTTACGTTTGTCACTCATTCTTAATTATCTCTATTTTAATATTTGAACGATTGTGCCAAGAGGTGATTTTGAAAAGTATTTTTAACAAAAATTACAATAACGAACACAATGTTGAAATTTTACACAAATTTTATTTATAGTTAGTCATGTATCTATCGCACGCAGTACCTGTACGCAACCGTCAGTTACCTCATATGATATAGTACTGTACGTAAGCGAATAGTACTGTAAATAAAATGAACAATAAAGAACTTTGAAAACCTACTCTCGATGAAACTGCTGTGAACAGTGAACCTATTATATTTTTGCAAGGTCTATCTATGACAAATCTATTTACGCATAACTCTATCTAGCTAATGATTGATATATGTATACCAGGCACGTCTCGTTCGAATACGTCTATACTGGATCTACTACACAAGCGCACTTGAGAGAAAATATCCCCGTCCCTAGTCTTATTTATTTCTACCGCGTCTGCGGAACGCGTTCGCGTCCGAGCGATAACAAAGAGGCTGGGTGATGGGACTCGGACCATGGTCACTGTAGCTCCGCTCCAAGTCGCAGCGAAGAGGGAGGGGCGGGAGAAAAAAAGGTGATGCCTGGCCTTGGCTGGAGGAGCCGCGGTCAACGATTCTTCCCCGCGTGCCGGCTGGGAAAGACGTATGTCTTTTTGCGCTGCGATCACCGCATGCGTTCGCCGTCCCTCCACCTTTTCGCAAATCGGTCGGGACCGATCACGGAGGGACACGCACCACCACGACGACGACGACGACGACGACGATGACGATGACAACGACGGCGGCGGCAGCGGCGACGGCGACAACAACGAGGAGTCCGCTCAAGGCAGGCCGGTCGCTCGTTTTCAAAAAATCTTTACAGCCAACCAACAGACACCCGTTTGATGCACTTCGTGGGAATACCCCGTCGGGCTGGTGATCCTCGCAAGTAGACGGATACCTCGCCGGAGCCAACTGATAATTGTAGGGTTGAGCGCACGAAAGTAAATGTATAGAAGGAGAAGAGTTGCATGAAACAAACCGCGTTTTTATATAATTAAAACATTTCTTAGAAATATAATCCAATAAACACCGAGCGTCAGTTACATTGCATTTATGTTACAATTTCTCACTCAACAATGTCAATGTAATATAACACACGAGTGAGAAATTATAACATAAATGCAATGTAACTGACGCTCGACGTTTACTGGGAAGTCTATTATATAGATCTAGAATGTCTATAATTTATTGATTGAGATCCAGATTGATACTGGATTTTTCTTAAATACGTAAAAGAACAAATCCAGGATGTTCTTCCCTTGAAAGTTTTAGTAATCTCATTTTAACTTAAGTCTTCTGCCGAATTTATTTTACAAAACGAGAAGTAACTTTGTTTAGACGTGCGGATTTTTGTAAAAAGAAAACACCGCTCTGAGTCGGACGCTAATTGTAGGGACAATTAATAGTTGGTACAGAGAATCACTTCGACTTAATGGACCGATGGGTTAATGAGAAGGTTGATGGTCAGTAATGCACTCCTGTCTCCAGGACACGTTCTAATTTACATTCCCTCGGTGATGGAAAGGTGTAGTGCGCGTTTGTTAATTAAGGTGACGAGCGGAAATGCGGGCGACGGCAGCATCTTTTTAATGGCACAGCATCCAGGGGAATCGATAATATCTCCGTAGTTGCAAATATGCGTAAAACTTTTTCCTTATAAGACCGGTTGATCAAGGTTCAATTAAATCCCTCCCCTCGAATTAATCTTATTATTAACATACAAGGAAAACAAAAATATTAAATATTGATAAGAATGTTTTGTATCGAATCCTTAAAACTTCGAGACATTGGTGATACGAAACAGAAACTCTCGTATCTCTATAGATTTTCTTTCACAGAATGCGTTTCAATTGAGATAAGAAGAAATTTGTGATGTCTTTCATTTCTCTTTCTCTTATAATCACTTAACAGTATTAAAATTATCATTTGTCAGAGCGAATTTTCTACTATTCTGCTAATAAAAGAATGCTGAATCTGCTGTATTATATACTTGATTGTTTTGTACGATTATATCTGAGTATTTAATATGCTGATAGTTAATTTTATCTACTGTCTCGAGTCTCCCAATTATTCTCAAGTGCAAAGTACATGCTCAGGCAATTTGAAAAATTACGATACGAGCGTCAGAATGTTCCCGAAATGTTTGTCGTTACGTGAAATTCTCTTTATGCGACACGCATAAGAATTTAAATTCGCTTATATAAGTCCACGTCCTTTCAACAATTCCGCATACTCTACTTAAAACGTGACTGAGGTATATCCGCGGTGGTTCGTTCTGCCTCCACCAAATTTTCAATTTAACCATAAGGATACCGGACCGGTTATGTCACCGCTTACGATAAAAATGTAAATATAACAAGAACGTTTATAGCTTAAGACAAAAAATGCATAATATTAACCTTGCGGCAACGCCATTCTTTTCTTAACAGCCGACTTTTCATAAATTCTCTTTTGAAAGGCATAAAAAAACAACAGGACCTACGAACAAAAGTCCGAGCTCCACGTAAATAAGACATAAAGCTATTGCGCAATTTCTAGGTCAGGGGTGTTGCCAAATTAACGCCATTGTATCAAAAGTAATCTTGAAATTTACCTTTCGTTACGTATTTAGGAGTACAAAGTGTTATCTTTCAATCTTTTTCTTAATATTCATTTCAATGTTAATAGTTAATAAGATTAAGACAATTGTAAAAGTTTCTATGATTAGAGCATAAACACGTATCAATCGTGTCAAATATAATATCAGTCGCCGTTGGATGATAATGACGATGATTAATCGCGCCACTGAACGACCCAGCGTTCTAATCCAAAAGACCACTGCAAGAGGTCGGCCATTACTTTTCAATCCCCAGATTGTATTTTGTGTATAAAAACGACGTATAGGATACCAAGAATTATGATCTTCAGGCAGCCGGTCGTCATCCCCCTAATGCACCTAAATGGCTCTTCGAAAAGCTGGGCCAGCAAAATGCGATTCTAGTCCGGCGATCAGAGCGTGCCTTCTCAGAATCTCTTCTCCGCCGATGAAGGGATACCGAGAAGTATCATTATACACACAATTAGACGCGTGCTAAATATATATGAATGGCTCGTTTTTCTCGCGCAAATCCCGAGATAAGAGTGACTAATTGTTTGACTATGTGTGATCTGAATTGCAAAGTAAAAGTCGCGATAACGTGTCTTCCGAAAGTAATAGTATATGCGCGCCCGTCCGAATGTACGGATTATTGCCTGCTGAATTTTTGCGAGAGACCAGAGCCAATCGAACATTTAATAATCAAGCTTTAATGATCGTCGAAATGCATTCATTTCTTATGACAAAAAAAAACAAATTATCCTACGAAGCATCAAATTGTTCGCAGCCACCGAAAAAAGTATTAGCTATTTTTCGACACCGGCCGTGCCTCTGAATACGTTGAAGATATATTCTTCATTAAGTCTCTATCTCCAGACGGATCTTGTTTCCACTTTTTATGCTAAGAAATTAACGCAGTTCTATTAATTTTGGACCCGGCACCAAATTGTCAACGTTTTCAGTTGTTTTTGCGAAATAAAAACGGACGGGATTCTTCTTCTTCTCCATCTCCTTCGAAATAAAGAGACTGGTATCCCAGTGAACACCGAGCATCGATTACATTGCATTTACGTTACAATTTCTCACTTAAGAATGTAAATGTAATACAAGATATGTGTCTTTTACATTGTTGAGTGAGCATCAGTTACATTGCATTTACGTTACAATTTCTCATTTAACAATGTAAATGCAATATAACACATGTGTCTTTTACAGTGTTGAGTGAGCATCAATTACGTTGCGTATGCGTTGCCATTTCTCACTCAACAACGTAAATGTAATATAATACATCCCTAGTGGTACAGTGCATTGGCTAAACATTGCCCCAGGTTATATTAGAAGTGCACTGGCCAATATTGTTCAACGTAAAGCCAATACATAATATTAGATTTATTAGAAGTGCATTGGCCAATATTTAACAGTGTAATAACAATATTGGTCTAATATTGATGCAATATTAAATAGACACATTGGCTAAATAAGAAAAGGCGTCCATCTTACAGCATTGGATCAACATTGAGAAAACTAGATTTACATTACTTCCCAATATGGCGCCAATATATTGTGCTACTAGGGATGTGTTTTTTACATTGAGTGAAAAATTGTAACATAAATGCAATGTAATTGACCCTCGGTGTTCACTGCGGCCTGGAGTACTTCGGGGAACAAAAATGAAGATGTTAAGATCAATCGTAATGAGACAAGTTGATTCGAAGGGTAACAATCTGCGAAAACGTGCGCTAGTCGTGCGCGAAGTCGTGCAAGGTCGGATTACGCTCGTCTCGGATTTTACGAGGATCACGTCCTCGGCGCCTCCGCGGAATCCCGGGGATCCCGCGAAAACACTCGGCATTGGCATTCCCATTTGCGGCTCTTTGTGCCGCAACTGGTACACTCCTCCCTTCGGGGGCACGGGATCCTCTTTCTCGCTCGCTCGCTCGCGCGGGCGAGCGCGTGCAGCGAAACCGCAGGTAGCCGACGACAGGCGTGTGCGGAATGCCATGTGCGCGTGTTGGTGCGTGCGTATCCCGCGTAACACGAAAACGAGCGCCGGGTCGCTCGCGTATATAAGGCCTGCTGCACTCGAAATGGAATCAGTCTCCGATATGTTGCGTCCATTGCATTTCGTAAGTGGTCCGCACGGATTCCCTCTTATCTTCGACGTCGATACTGTCGTCTCGAAGACCGGGGGCTCTTCCTTTCTTCTTGGTTGTCTTTTTGTTCGGCGCGTCGCGTGTGTACGCTCTTTTTCGACGGCACGAAACGTCAGTCGCGGGCCCGATTAACTTGTCTGATTAACTAAATTAGAGTAATTCGCGTCCGAGACCAATCGCTTCAGGTATCGCTCGGAGCGGACTACCTTCGACAATCGAGCCGCCGGGATTATAAATATATAATAATAATCGAATAGAAGTTAGAAAAGAGTTAGTGCTACAGAAAACTCAAATAACGCGATTATCATCAGAATATATCGATGCAAATTGTTACTACGTTACTATATTAGTTACTATATTACAATATTAGAAGTCTGTAAAATTTCAAATACTACGTCGTGGATTATTATTGCAAATCGTGTCCCTTACGAAAAGGTAACGAAACAATTACTAGAAAATCACTGTACATCATTACTGGAGTAATTTTCTAGTAATTATCTCGTCGCTTTTCCGCAAGGGACCCGGCGAAAGCGACCGACGAATTTGCGATCGATCGAAGATTTCTCAAGAAATCGCAACAATTATGTAAAATAGTGCCAACTTCCCGAATTCTCCTTGCCGCAATGTAACAAGTTGTACTGATAAAACTAATTACGGGAGCGGGTTGAAGTTGCGTAAAAAAGATTCGTTTCCAACCGCGCGAATCGAAGAGTCGACGATAATAAGGAGTCGCACCGAATTCATTGATTCTAGGTGTTGTTCTTCGCGGCCTTCCTCGCGTTCGCCGCCGCCGTGGAAACCGGGGGACCCCCGAACGTGCAGAGTGAGGTCGAGCCGCAGCCGGATGCGAATGCCAACGATCTAGAAGCGGATGCCACGTACTGGGGGTGAGTTACACGTCATTTTTATTCCTGTCCCATCGATCTACCTGCAGGAAAATCCGTCAATGCGTGAGGCTCGCCACCCTTCTGCCCGTTTCTGCCAATGCAAATCAACTCTAATCTCGGTTCAAATTACTTCTTAAATCTTCCTCTAATTCGTAAAACTCGAAAAAGATACAAAGAAAGCCGAACCGAGATTAAAGTCGAACTGGTACACCGGAAAAAAAAAGTAATTGGCTACCGTAGCTAATCATGATTTGCTAAAAGTATGTTGCTGCATTAACTATATAAATTTCCAAGCCACAGCGAACAGTTTGCCGTCGCATCTAATGCAATAGGCACAGTAGCAAAGTATTAGCTACCACAACTAAATATTAAAAATTAGCTGTGCATAATTTTCAACTGAAATTTAGTTAGATTGCACATGCAGTTTTTAGCTACGGTAGCTACATTTTTTTCCCGCGTAGAAACGGGCATTAGACAATTTAGATAAATTAGATAAATAAGGTGAATTACAATAAATACCTGCAGCTGGACATTTTGAAACGCGTACGAACGCGTCTTCTAGGATGTTCCCAGAATGCCAATGTCAAAATTCGTCGCGTGTCACTGCGAAGCAGAGGCAAAAAGAACAATGCCGAGTGCGTGAATTCATATTTCCCCCAAGTCATATGCCCCGCCATTCGTTGCAGCTGCGACGAAGCCCGTATCTGCAGGTCCTGTAAATGCAACCTGAATCCAAATGCGCGTTCTTAAACTCATTAAAAAAAAAGTGTCGCAACCATTCTGTCCATCACTGTACCTTCATTAAAGTTACCAGACTTCGAAATTAAGCTGTCGCGCGACAAAGAAAAGTCCTGTTTCGCGGGAAGCATCGAGGGCGGATCGGAAACTTGCGCGGATTTTCCGATAACCGGAGAGCTGGATAACTCTCGGAATCTTCGTTTAAAGTTGGAACGCGTCTTCGTATGATGGTTGTAACGACAACCGTCAAACGGCGTTCACGCGTCCCATCGTAATCGGGGCTTACTCAACCGCGATTATGTACTTCGCGCGTACTTTGTATGCGTCCCGCTCGCTCACGGGCGCTTACGACTCGTTCGCGAAGATGACAGTCGCGCAAACGGGGGACATTTAAGAAAAAATATTGCGCTTTTGTGGTGCAGTGTTTCTTCATTCGCATTCGCGACCACATCCCTCGCCCGTCCGCGCATGAATCGCACGTACATACATAATCCCGTCGCACGTACGCTCTAACTAGTCGCGCGCATAAATGGCGCATCTCGATGATCAATTAACGCTAAAGCGAGCCGCAGCCGATCAATTTGCAATAATTTAGCGGCCCGTATGCGCCTCGTCTACTTTTTTTGCGAGCGACATCGCGAAACTTCCGACTTTACCGTCGTAGAAAAGTGCAGCTTCTCCGAAATAATATTGCATATCGAGATGGAGGCTTAAACCACCGCTTGGACGACACGACAAATTTAATTTTCACGGGATAAGTAAATAAATAAAATAAACGCGCGCGCGTATTTCGATTTCAATGTGTTTCAATGCTTCTCCTTCACGTTCCCAGCACTTTAAATGATAATTTAATGACGATAAAGGCAGAAAAAGCAGAATGTAGATGTACAGAATGTTTACTGCTATTTTGCAAAGGTTGCGCGCGTAATCACAATTATAAATTATAACTTGATACTAATCGTACCTGCGCGCAGAAGTGATATCCTTCATACGCTCGCTCTTTCCTCTCGTCTATAAATAATCAATATAACGCTTCTGATTCACGACAAACGAAAGGTTACTTAAGATAAAAGATCAATTTGTTTCCTCTCTAGTTGACTGACAGTCTTTTCCTTTCAGCATTTAACTCCGACATTAAACCTTCTCAAAAAAAAAAAATCGCCGCTAATCATTAAAAAGGCGGCGATTTTACTTACCGTCAGTTTGTTAATCGATTATAAAAAATTTCAGATACGGACGACCATATTATAGATACTACGGTGGCTGGGGAGGTTACGGCAGAGGATACGGTTTGGGAGGATGGGGGGGCGGCTGGAGAGGAGGATACTGGGGCGGTCGAGGCTGGGGTGGACGAGGATATGGCGGTTGGGGCTGGAATTACTGGGGTTGACGTGAGCGTCGCATCCAACCCGCGTGATACTCTTATCAACGTAGCCCTCGGTCTCCTTCGTATAAATTTTCTCTAAGATACGTGAAGCTCTTCAACAGCTTCATTAGCTTACGAAGTTCTCATTGAAATCTCCATTGTACGAGAATAAAAACAGATCTGTGAAGGAAATGTGTTTTGTCTCCTGCCACCATCCTTATTGATCACGCGTAAAATAAACGAAACTTTCTCCGAGAAACGACGTTAGTATATAATATACAATATAACTTAACATTTCGTGAGGATTGGAACAGTCTCGATAGAAACTTTTTTTTCAAGAAAATTGTTGCAAAATGGATGAAAATATATTTTACATGAGACTTTATCGGACATAAACGGACTCAAACATATTTTTTTTTTTAGAAATTTAAGAACTCGCGCTAGAACTCTTCTATTTTTTCCGCCAACTAACGTATATAATAATAAGACAGTAGTTATCGTAGATGTAAGAATAGCAGATGTAGGGGTATAGGTCGAATAAGGAAACGCGGGATGTAAAAAACTGTAATTATTATTAATCGTAATAATATGATTATTGACAATGACGCGACTATGTGCACATTAAAACATCTTATCTGTATCTTACAAGACCGGCTTTCTTACACTATATACAATAACTAAATATCATATTATTCATTTGTATTACATAATAAAATTATCTATATATTTATATTTTTGTATATATATATGTTCATATTTATATATTTATATATTTATATATATATACTGTATTTATAATAATATTAAATCGTTATTTGTTATTAGAGTAATTATATTTCAATATATATATATATATATATATATACGCATGTAAGAAACGATTAAAAATTAACCAAATATTTATTCTTTATAATTCTGTACAATATAGGCTCTTAAAACTCTCCTTATCACTGAAAAAATGTACAGAGCGGTACGAAGGTATGTCTGGAAAAATTCTCTCGCTCGCGAAACGTTTAAACCGATTCGGCGCGCGTGTCGGCTCGTTGATCGATGATTCACGTCCGCGATCGATGATCGTGCGCGACACGCGCCGGAGGAACCGCAGAGGATCCGTTTCCGCGATCGATGAGAATTTCAGGGCGGCGGCGAGCGCGCAAAGATCGCCGGCGCGCTAAACAATACTTCATTTGATTTGATTTATTTTTGCGCTGCATAACAAGAAAATAAAAGAGTTATGACAATAAAGAATTGGGACGAAACGGTATCGCCAAATCTCTCTCTCTCTCTCTCTCTCTCTCTCTCTCTCTCTCTCTCTCTCTCTCTCTCTCTCTCTTTCATTCATTTACATCTATGCAACTTACTCGCCCATTCTCTCTCTCTCTCTCTCTCTCTCTCCCCTCTCTTCGCCTTTCTCACTCTCGCTCTATTACTCAATCACTCATTCTCTTTTACTTTTTTCTTAGAATTGCAAGATCGCGACAAAAAGCTGTCTTACCTCTTAGTCCAACGCGTTCGCATGAAAGATACTTTTAATGTCCGATCACAAGGATTTGCCGGTTCAACTAACCTTCTTTTAATACATTCACGTAATCTTTCGCCCGAGTACGTAATGAAGAGGATCGAGAAAATTGCGATCGGGATGAAAGTTCTAATAATGAGAGATGTCGCGAAGTGAATTTTCTTTCGAGGTGTCAATTTTCCTGCTTTCCTTTTTTTCATCTGCACTTTCAGCTATACAATTTTTATCACTGAGTAATCTCCAAAAGTTCGTCGATCGATAATAAGCTGCGCTAGAGCGCTCGTCTTTAAAAAAAATCTTCAACGATCCTCGATGTAAGAGGTGTCGAAAGTCTATCGACGCGATCGTGCAATTCTTCTTTTCTCTCTCTCTCTCTCTCTCTCTCTCTCTCTCTCTCTCTCTCTCTCTCTCTCTCTCTCTCTCTCTCCTTTTTTTAATACGCTCGCATCCAAGAAAGAGAGCAACTAAAAACCATCTGGAAGATAAGATCCGTACGGTAACACAGCCGTTATATAAGCTTCATACCAATTACAGATTCCTGTGTCTTATCTGACAATGAGATACGAGTATGTACAATTTCTTCTTATCCTGCGCGTCGCATCACGATTGTGGAGTGAAAAGCGTATGGGTCGGGGGGGGGGGGACCGTTCAAACAGAACAACTGAGCACGGGAATATCGTTATCTCGCTATCGCTTTTCACACTCGATGTACCTGCATCCTTTCCCATGTCTTAACCGAAAACGCAAAGTTTACTCTTATTAAAAAGCCGCCACCTTCCCCCCAATACCCATGTGTGGCACCCCACGATTCTCTTCACTCCACAATCGCTAATGAGCGGGGACCGGGACGAAGGACCTTCCTACGGACGTCGTAACAATTGCACATTTAGCAAAGGATTCAGCAATCGGTAATAAGATTTCCCGTCGGCGCGCATGACTGGACTGATGAAAACGTAAACAATCCTCAGTTTCGCTTATCGCGCGTTTTACAAACGCATCCTCCCCCCTCCCCCGATTGCACGCAATCGACTTTCGGTCGTCGCTAAACTTTCCCCGCCATGTCTCGCGTCCTAATTGCTTGTCAATCCCAACTCCTTTCCTTGATACTCTTAAATACCATACAGTATCTTGAGATACGATAACGAAAAGACACGACAGAAAAATAAATAAATACAATAACAAGGAGACACGAGCGTCTCGAAGATGTCTAAACGCTTTTAGATATATTTTTTGCTTTTTTTTTTAGAAACACATCTCTCTACAACGTCTTTCGCATGTACATTTTTTTCATCAGGATGCATCTTTGTGTAACTCGATATGTTACCGCAGCTCTTCAGAGTTTACAGTTGGTAATAAATTCTTGTAAAAGAAAAGGAGAAACGTATTCGTACTCTCGAAAAGTCAATCGGTGGATTATCACTGAGGACAGCGAACAGGCACAAATTTCCAGCCATAAGCATACCACTGAAAATTGCAGTACACTTATGGCCGTAGATCAGTGACTGTCCACCGTTTTCAGTGATGACCCACCGATTGACTTTTAGAGAGAGACGAGCGTAGAAACGATGATTCTTTTATGCTCCAAAAAAAAATCTTTCCATGCTTAAACGTATTTTATATTCCACGCCTAGACATATATTTGTAATTTAACGTATTTTAGAATTAATAGAGTTATTTAACCTTGCTGGTATTAAAATGCAGTGAGAGACAAGTAGAAAACGAAGGCTCAGCTACGGGCAACCCTCGCCAGGGAATCTTCTTTCCCGAAGAGTGAAGATGGTGACGGCGACGAAGATACGTCGCTCCTCGGCCTTGTACGAAACAAATCTAACGGAATATCTTCAGCTTTTGTGTGATTCTCGTGACTCGAATCACGCACGCACGAATGACGCGTGTCCGAAAGGACTTTTTCTCTCTCCCTTCTCGCAATTCCGCAATTAGATCGCAATCCTTTTTCTTTCTTTTCTTTACATATCGGTACAAAACATGGCGCGCCGCTTCATCAACCATGAGTATTTTATACGCATAACTCTTGTTAACTATGTGGCGAGATTAAAACGATAATTTTTAATACAAAAGGGAGGAGAATTACATAATAATAGTAATAATAGCGTGCGGTATATAGTAATTAGGGTGATACTAGACAGAAAGGAGAAAGAAAGAAAGAAAGAATGAAAGATGGGGGGGAAGAGAAAGAACTAAAAAGTCGTCTAAAAACTGTTCTTGGGAGCTTCCGAAAGAAAATACATGGTGAATAAATAGCGCCTTACACTGATCGTCATAAATAAATACACGCAGCAGGGCTACAACGTGAAAAGGGATAAAATGGGTAATCGTGACGATTAATGACGCGTTGAATCCTATAAAAAAAACTATGTAACAAATCGCGCGAGAGGTGCGTACGTAACATATATGTATATGTATGTAAATATATAACGTGTAAAAAAATATAATAAAAAAATATCTTCAAATTTCGCGTCTAACTGATCGTGTGTGCGGATTGCACAGCGTGAAGCGAAAAACGAAATGATAGAAAGAAAACAAAGGGGAAGAACGTGCGACTTCGGGGGAGCAAAACGCGGTACACGATCGTAGGCATCTTGCAGGGTTTTAATCGTCAAACGCAAGAGAGCGGCGCGTTAAGTTCGAATTGTCAAATCGCGGAGAAGCGCGTCCTTGCCTTCCCTCCCTTTTCTTCTTTCCCTTTTCAAGCACGAATGGATATGCCTGTGTGTCCAAAACAAAAAAAGAGAAAAGAAATTTGTTCTAAAAGTAAAAAAAAGACGAATCCCTTTCCATTTGATGCTTCACGTCCGGCTGGTATACGCTTTTTTTTTGTCATATAGTCGATATCGATCGTATATCGCTCGAAATATTGTATATAGTATTGTGGTTTATTAAAATTCATTATAGCTAGCATTTAAAAATCACGACCTAAGCGGTGATTTGAGAAATATGCTTCTTGTACAAGGTAATTTTACGTCGCTGCCGCGATACCTCATTAAGGTGTCGATCGTTGCGCACGAACATGAGCCTCGTACCCCCGTCAAGACTTGGCGCGCTAATACGTTGCGCTAATACCGGTTCATGTCCTTTGAAGTCCACACCTGATCATCGTATTGCTTTGAGGTCGCATCGACGAGCGTAAGAAAAATGTTTGAGCGTGGCACGTCGACAAACGAGGAAATATATTCAGTCTGGCCCGTTTCTACAGACTGCTTCTCTTAAGTAATAAATAGTTTGATAGCTGTGCGGAGTAAATGGAAATGACGGTGACAAGTTATGGTACAGATCGGCAAGCCGCACGTCCCCTCGGAATCCCTTTGGAAGAGATCCCGCAAATCTTTAAAAGATCTTGGAGACGGCTTGTGTAATGCCCGTAAAATAATAAAAAAAAAACGAAAGAACAAATGATCGGCGTCACACAGAGCTACGCGGTCACTACGTTTTGTTCTAATCGAGATTGATCGGCCGAACGATCCCGTGTTGAATGGAGGAAAAGTGGGCGCGCAGAGGTATGCAGACAAGAGACAACGTTACACAATGATCGCGCAACGAGGGGACACCTTAGCGTGGACCGCCGATACATCCGACGAAATGCACGTGTTCATTTTTTTTCCCTTTTAGTATTTGCGGTAAATTTTGGGCACTTTGTGAAATTTCACTTCACCCTCAGATCATTTACAATAATTAATAATTTATATTACACTCTTACACCGAGTCTCTGTCTCAGTACTGAACAATATACACTTCTATTCTTGTATGTACGTGTACGTGTGGCGAAAAACGTGTTCTCTGTGTGTGTATGGGTACGTGTATGTGTGCTTTAGCGAATATATGTCTTACGTATACGCGAGCACGACGAGTAGGTGCGCGATGCCGTGGCACGTGTACGTAATACACACGCGCACGCGAAGAATAGTCTAAGAAAGGTTCACTAGATTACCGTATTTATACAATTATCATTAATTATCACCTAACTTGGCATCCTTGCGGGAGCGGCGCGGGCGGACACCCCGGCGAGTTGTGACTCGCGGACTGAGGCAGCAGCGGAATATCGTCCTCTTTGGAAGATTGCTTCTCCATGCACGGCGGTTGCTGCTGCTCCTGCTCGGCTCTCGTCCCGGCGACGGAGACGACGACGTCGGTGGCCGGCAGGCGTCCCGCCGCCGCCACCGCCGTCGCCTTCTCCTGCTCGGCGCCGCCGATCGGCAACGGCGCCGCCGAGTTCACCAACGTCACCGTCGTCGTCGCACTAGTACCGCTACCACTACCACCGTCGTCCACACTCGCGCTTCTCGCTACCACCGGATCCTTGAGTTCGTAGCCCTCCTGACAGCGGGTCAGTTTTAACCGGATCGGCGTCACCTTCGCCGAACGGATGTTCCTGAGGGCGGTGGCGCCTGGATTGGGGTCAGAAGTCGGCTGCTTCTCGTCGACGCCACCCTCCATCGAGTAGACTCCGGTCTCCTCCTTGGCGGGCTCGGGCGGCGGCGGACCCACTCGACTGTCCTTGTTGTCCAACGACGCCTGTTGCTGCTGCTGCTGCTGCTGTTGTTGCTGCTGCTGCTGCTGATTGTCGTCCCCGTCGCCGGTGACCGGCGCGCTGTTCGGCGCGTCGTTGACCGCCGAGGTGTTGGCGCCCGCCGGTTTGCCCAGCCGTATGATGAGCTTGGGCGGCGCGGCGCCGTCCTCCAGGATCTGCACCCGCGCCTCCTTCTTGCTGGACTGCCGCTTCTTCCGCTTGCCGTTCTTGTCGCGCTTATTCTTCGTCTTCTCGTCGTTGTCGAAGCCCGCCATGATCATCTTGCGGAACTTCATGCTCTCGCGGCGCAGCTCCTCCATACTGGGCGTGCTCGGGATGCTGCTCAGCCGCTTCTTCGGCGGCCTTATTCGGCTGCGATCGTCCTGCGCGTTGCCTAGGTCCTGTCCACCGATTATACTATTGCCGATCTTGATCTTGAGCTTTGGCGGGCCGGCGCTGTTCGTAACCGTGGTGGCGGTCGGACGAGTCTGCCTGCCTCTTCTACGATCGCTGACCGTGCCGACCATAAGACTACGCTTTCTGTCGGAACTGCTCTCCTCTTCGCCTGCTACTACGTCGAGGAAGCCACTGCCACCATTGCCGCCGCCACCGCGCTCTTTCCGACGCTTCTTCTCCATATTCGCATCAACGACCGCTTTGTAGTCCTCACGAGTTGGTATACTTGTCATAGAAGCTACAGCCTTAGGGATAGTAATGATGGTGCGATTCGGATTGATTGGTGGGATAATGATGGGCACGGAGGCGACACTACCGGCAGAATCGTCCATGTTCATATCCTGCGAACAGTATTGGCGCAACAGCTCCTTCTTTCGCATGCGACGTAGATTCGATGTCCCTGACGCGACAGACGCACTGGTCGCAGCCGGCGTGATTATCACCGGCGCCTGCTGTGCCAGTGGTGGTACCGATGGCGTATAATTCGCGTCGAGAAACGGGCCTTTGATCTTCACCTTCAACTGATTCCTCGAATCGGTCAGGGAAACCTTGTTGGCGTCGAAGCTGGACGCGGACGACGGGTCTATCGTCGACGAGTCGCCGAAGCCTGCCTTCGAGCACGGCTCCTCGAAGCCGCCGCTCGCGAGTTGCTGCTGCTTACCGGTGGGCTTCTTCGTCACGCAGCAGTCACCGTCGTGCAACAAATCGTCGAGTTCCGGCAGATTCGAGTCCGCCCTCACGCTCGCCGCGAAGCTGCCCAGCAAATGGTTACCGTACGGCTGGCCGTGGACCAACGTGCTCGCCTGGTCCACGGTCGAGTTGTACGTACGCATATCCACCGGGCCTGGTAACAGTGGCAAGCAGTCGGCAAACTGGTGGCTGGTGCTCGACTCGGATTTCGCTATGGCAGCCTGGTGGTCGTGGTGCACCGCTGGCGACGCGAGCTTCTTATCGTCGGCGTACTTCTTCACGGTGTGCAGCGTGGGACTAGTCAGATGGGACTGGATGCCACCGTCGTTCGCCATGCCGCCGAGGGGCTCGCTCGCGCGATTCTTCTCGTTCACGTCGGTGGACTTCTTGCGCTCGCGCATTGTCCGCAGATCCGCGATGTTGGTCTCGTTCGCCGAGTCCTCGTCCGAGTCGAAGTCGTACACGGTGCCGACCAGCTTGTTCTGGATAGAGTCGTCGTTGTGCAGCGCGTTCGACATCGGCACTATCGCGATCGACGGGTTCTGGTTGGTCCTACCGCGTCCCCGTCCCCGGCCGCGACCGCGACCCCGGTAACCCGAGTGCTGAGACCCCTTGGAGCTCCTGCTGCGACCGCGAGAGCTCGGCGCGGGCTTGGTCGTCTCCTGCCGCGGCGATTTGCCGGGCGATTTGCCCTGCAAGGACGTCACCCTGGCGGACGTTCTCGTCGGTTTCGATGGCGACTTCTTGCCAGACGGCGCAATCTTGTTGTCCGCGCATACCTCCGTTATGTTCTCCACGGCGGTCTCGTTGTTCACCTGCGTCTCCGCGATGGTGTTGAGGAAGGACGCCGGTACGGCGGGCGAGTTAACCGGCTGCGACAACAAAGACGGCAGGGGCCCCGACGATGGCGGCGCTTCCGAAGACGGTGGCTGTGGCTGTGGCTGTGGCTGTGGCTGTGGCTGTGACTGTGGTGGCGGCGGCGGCGGCGGCGGCGGCGGCGGCTGCTGCTGTTGCTGTTGCTGCTGTTGTTGTTGTTGTTGTGACACCGGTGCCAGCGCCGGTGGCGGCGTAGTTACCTTCGTCGGCGATACCATGGCCGCGGTGAGGGCCATATTATGCGACGACGAGGTAAATGCGGCGGTGCACGGCGACGCACCAATGTTGAGGGACTCCTCGAGAGGCTTCGGCACATGCGACAGTATAGACTGCGGCGTCGGGAAAGGGGCGCCGAAGGGTGGCGGGAAGGACGACGGATAGGGCAGCGGGGCGGCGCACGATTGCGGCGGGAACAGCGAGACCGCCCCGGTGCCGTAAGAGCCGGTCTCCGAGTACGAATGATAGGGCGTCGCGTCCATCGGCGGGTACGACAGCGGCGGTACATTCTTGTAAGGGGGAATAGCCGTGTGCTCCTCCGCGGAAGACGCGGATGTGATGGACGACGACGTGGACCGTCGCGACGGTAGAACCTGGCTCTCGGCCCATCGCGTGTCCGGTCGGCCGTTAAGCTCGTTGTAGGGCGAACCGCTCTGCGTGTAGTCCTGCCTGATGTCCGACGAAACGTCCTCCTTGTCCAGCACCCGGTCCATCTCGCTACCCTGATCGTCCTCCGAGTTGGGCAGACTGATGAGATGACGGTTCACCATCTCCATGGGCGTGATCTCGTCAACGATCTGCGCCGGTATTCCCGTACCTGCTGCCGCCATCTGCTGATCAATCATCGCGAGTGATTGCACGCGCGACTCCTGGGCCACGACGTGCTGCGCCTCAAGATGCTGCTGCACCCGCTCCATCGGATGCGCCTGCTGCAGCTGCAGATACTGATCCTGCATGTTGAGCTGGAGGTGCGCGACCAGGGCTGCGTCAGGATTCGCCGCAGAATCCGGCATCACGGCGCTGATATCGTTGGAGAATTGATGCGTGGTGGCGGCCGCGCCCGCGGCGACGTAACGATGGTTCTGGTTGTCGATCAGCGTGTTCAGGTGTTGCACGTCGCTCGGATTGAAATTGTCCATGCTCGGCGGTACCCATCTCTCGTCCGCCTCGGCTCTATCGAGCTTCGCACGCTCCACCACCGTCACTTTGGCCGTCTCGCGCTCTTCGTTCCCGTACATGTAATGTTCATTGTTGCTGTTGCTCGAGTAACAAGGCTTCCTCTTGTCCTCCATAGTATGGTTCTTGCATGTGAGATCCTCGAACATCTGCGCGGGCTCCGCACCGCTGTTACTCTTAATCTCGACCGGTTGTACGATTGCTTGCTGTTGCTGCTGTCCCAACGGTTGCTGCTGCTCCTGCACGTCCACCTTCTCCTGAAGCTGCTCTTCCGTTGGCTTCTCGACCGCGTGAAGAGGCGGCTCCTCTTTCTTCGGTAGCTCCTCTTCCGCCGGAGCGGATTCCAACTCGAACTGACTAGAATTCGACTTCTTCGATAATTCCATACGCAGCTTCTCCACCAAATGCAGCGTCTCCCGCGCACTGTCCTCCTTCGAGTCCTCCTTGAACCAAAGGTCGTTGTTGAAGGAGAACGAGAGCGGTGCCGCTCCTCGCTCTTCGTCGCGCGGTATACTGAAGCCGTCATCGTTCACCATGTCGTCGGTCAACATGTCTTGATCAAAGTCGAACAGCTCCGACACACTGGGATCCTTGCTGCCGTGTTGCGGCGAGAAGATGGAACGATTCACCGACTTTCTTCTCTTTAACTGACACTCTTTCTCGGACGTCACGTTCTCCATTAATGCGGTAGAGATTTTATTTTCGTGCAACGACCTCAAGTAAATGCTATCCCTAGCTATCTCGTCGACCACCGTGATCATCTCGACAGCAGCCTGCGTCTCGCTCTCGAGCCTCCGCTCCGTCTTCTTCTTTCTGTCCGTAGGTTTCTCCAACGTCTTCTCGACGTTCTTCTTTACATCGTCTTTCTCCAATTTCATAGTATCTAGCACCGCGACTTCCTCGCTCATGTGGTTCTTAATGTCTTCACTCTTGACAGGCTCCTTCGCGACGGATGCCACTATTTTTATGTCCTTGTTCTCCTCGTTACATCTCTCCTGCTGAATGGCAATCCTGTTCCTTGACAATTTATCAAGATGTTCGCGTTTTTCAAGAAGCTTGTCCAGTCCTCTCGATGACTTCTTTGGACTGTCTCGTTCCGCCCGTCGCTGCTTCATCTCCTCCTCCAACGTATTGATCGCATTCTTATTACTTGTTTTCTTAATCTTTTTGTCATCCACTTTAGGAGTATTCTCAGACACTTTCGGAAGTTCCACGTGTTCTGGAACATTTTTAATACTAGTAGTATCGTGTTTGTTATCTTTCTCGGCTTCCTTGGTTATCCTGTCTATTAATTTCTTTTCCATCTTCTTGAGCGGTGACGTCTCCTTGTTACCCTTGTCCTCCTTTGCGGTAACCTCGCTCGATTTTCGTTTACGAGTCTCCGACTTCGCTCTGGACACTGTTCCGCCGCTGTCCTCCTTGCCTCTGAGAGTAGACTGCTGTTGTTGTTGTGTCTGCTTAACAGACTGACTGGATTTCTTGGTAGACTTGGCCCCAGAAACACCTCGTAGCCCATCATTATTTCGAGACCCACCGAGCACACTTTGTTCAGCTGGCTGTTGTGATTGCAGGGATGTCGACCTTTTGGAGGAGTCTCTTTGATCAGCTTTTTTACTGGATTGCTGCTGCTGCTGCTGCTGCTGTTGTTGTTGTTGTTGTTGTTGTTGTTGTGCCTGCTGCTGCTGCTGCTGCTGCTGCTCCTTAGGTACTGCGGTTCTACCTGATTCTTCTCTCTCAGTAAGCGGCGGCTGAAACTCTGGTCCATGCCGCCCGTCGGAAGTTTTAAGCTTCTTATCGGGCAGCTTCTTGAGTTTCCGCCCCGCGACAATCCTCTTCTCAGACTCGACTTCGTCCGCGACTTTATTCATTGTCTGTCGTTTATTCGCAGGTTTGCTCTTCACCTGATTACCGTTATCACTTTCGGAGGACGTGGTAGTGGTGGTGGTGGTTGAGGAGGAAGCCGGCTCCTTAATGGTGCTAGACAATTTTTGCATTGGACTCTTAGCTACGTCGGAATCGCTGCTGCTCTCCGAAGAGCTGCTACCGCTGCTGCTGTCGCTGCTGCTGCTCTCGCTATTGCTGCTCTCAGGCATCTGTTTCTTTCCCCGTCTCTCCTTCAGCAATGGCTCCTCCTTTCTTGTCGGCAGCAGCTCCTCCTTTTTCGGCGATTCCTCCTTCTTGATCTCTTTTCTCTTACCACCGTCCGGCAATTCCTTCTTTGGTTTTCCATCCGCGGTTTCGGGATCCGTCGGAGCAGTTTTCGTGCCCATACCACTCTTGATGTGCTCTGCGGCTTTCTTCGCAGCCTGCCGTTGCGGCACGTAAGCGAGGATCTCCGAACCGTCACCGAACTCCTTGTCGAAATCATAAACGTCATTATTCTTAACGTCCTTTGGCGCCTTGTTATCGCGCTGCTTCTTACCAGGCGGCTTCTCCTTGGTTGGTTTCAAAGGTTCCCCGGGCGACTTGACGAACTCTATGGGCTCGCTCGCGGTATTTTCCTTCTTACCCTGTGTTGTTCGCTGCATGTTCTCCGATGCCTTCTTCGCCGCTTGCCGCTGCGGAACTATCAGAGCGGATGGTATGCATTCTTTTTCTTTCTTCTTGGAAATCTTCACGTTCTCTTTGTTCTTCGTGGACTCATCCTGATATTCGGATCTCACGGCATCCTTGCAGGTAAAGTTCTTCTGCGTATTCTTTGATAAATCCGCCGCTGAGAATTCTTTCACCGCAGCTTTTGTGATAAGTACGGCCGAGTGAGAATGATGCTCCTGCGAATCCGAATCAGTATCCGAATATATGGCAGAAGCTGCCGACGGACCGAGACGAGAGCTGGCGTTGGTGCTCAACGGCAATAATTCGTCGCTCTCGCTGTCGGAACTACCAAATTCCATATGCTGGGAACGCGATCTGTTCACCATATCTAGCTTATCGCTCTCGCTGCTGTCGCGCAGTTTAACTCGTGTCTTGTCCGGCGTATTTTTCTTCGTTTTTCGCCTAGCGGGAGTCTTGTTCTTTGACATTGCATTTCCTTCTTCCTCTGAGCTCGATTCGATCTCAGTCTTCACACTCTTAGACTTATTCGTGCATTTGCCAGTCGTTTTCCTTTCTGTCTTCACCGCGTCCGTCTCGCTACTACTCATGGACGACAAGTCACTCCCGTACAAGCTCTTCCCTCTGACCGAACCGTTGAAGTAGGGTTTCTTATTGGACGCACCGTTGAAGTCCGGTTGTATTTTCTTCTCATCGTTAGACGCTGGCGTGGGCGACTCGATTTTGATCCGAGAGAGTATTGTGTTGAAGTCATGCGTGTGATCCTCGGCATCGGGATGGGAATAGAGACGATCGTATATCGAAGGCCCATGATTGGCTTCGACAATAGCCGCAGCCGTCGTTGGAGATAACGGTGGTCCGGCCATCACCATTGCCTGCTTGTGGAAAGTCTGTTCGCGTAATCTCAGAAAAGAACGACAAAGTTTCTCGCGACGGCCGACCATGTAGCACAAATTTCGCACGCGTTCCAGATCTTGCCGCAGTTGGACAAACGTACGCATTTTTTCTACATCGGCCGCTTGACCCTGAGCACGTGCTCCTGCGCTCGACAGTTCGCCACAACGAGGAGCTAGCAATGGTTTGTTATGACCGGCCTAAAACGTAATATACGCAAATTACAAACCGTACCCAATATGACAGTCTTGTAACTACGAATTTGTATTGACGACTTACTCGTCTCTTCAGTTTCCAATAGTTATATATGTATATGATGCTATCGGGATCTATGTCCAATTGTTGGGAAGTAATATCCTTTATACTAACATGCTTATCAAATTCCGCTTCAATTTCTTGCAGCCTAATATGGAAACAACACACATTAGTAAGCATATTATGCTTATGTTTTATAATATAAAAACAGATTAATTCTTTTAATCTTGTACACATAAGACACATATTAAAATATAGCTCCTAAAGGACTTGACTAAAGGACCATAAAGGACCTGAAGTACGTTGTAGCGAATTAAATCAAATTTGCCAGTTGTATAATAAAGATTTAATAAACTGTAGCTGATGTATTTATACTTGTATAGATTTCAACATAATTTCCAAGAATGTATTAAACAATTAGGTCACATACTTAGCTGCGCGTGCTTGATTTTTCTCTTCAGAGGTCATGTCTTTCCGTTTTCGTCGTCTGGATTCACCATCCTCGGAATCTGAACCACCCTTTCCACCACTTCCTACGCTACCGCCAACGCCGACTTTGTCTTTTGTATTTGTTCTACTGTGCTTTTGACAATACGACTAGAAACACGAAATTATCAGATTGACTTGTAGCCGCGAAACAGTAATTTCAACGAATTTAGATCGCGTATGATAGCTTACCCTTAATTTTACACCGTCATCTGCCATTTCGTCCTCGATAATAGCCTTCATTTCCAACCCATATTTAAAAGCACACGTAACGTGATACGCTGTCTTACACGTCTTTATACTGCACTGGATGCAAGCACCCACACGTTCACGGCATAAAACGCAAATTAAGGCCCATCGACTTTGCTGCAATTCGTCATTACGCTCAATCAGTTTATATCCAGAATCACAGTAAAGAAATTTCAATAAACTATACACGATAGAGAATATACGATTAATATTTCAAAAATTAATCCGAATTTGAATGCTAACAAAAATAATAAACCTGAATGATCATAAGATTGTTATTTACCGGAATACTGGATATTTTTGTAATTGGCTCCATTCTTTCTACACAACCGATGCTAACTTCGGGAATCCAAAGCGCGCACGAGACATGAGCCCATTTTTGACCGCTCCGTGTGCACTTCATTGCACCTCCCTTATTAGGGCATAATACACAGTCGGGTCGTTGACTTAACGAACAAGTTCTACACAACCAGGAGCCATCGGGTATCGAAGTAATGCCGTAACAAGCTTGATGTACACATATGTTGCAACAATCACAAAATACCATCTCGTTACCCTCCTCGGAGTCCGGCTATCAGAAAAATTGTTCACGTGTGTTATAGAGAATCGAATACAAATTAAAATGTATATCGTACGCGTGCGTGAGCAACGTACAGTAGATTATTTACACACAATCCCGTTTTTCGATTATGTAAAAGTCAATAGTCACTCACCGATCTGCAAACATCACAAATGACATTTTCGTCGTACTCAATCCCAAGTCCCTCCTCATTCTTCACGATTGTTTGAATCCTTTCCCAACATCGCACCTCCAGCTCTTCTACGACACGCTCCAACTGCGATTCCGTGACCGGCGGTTGTCCAGCCTGGATCATTTTAACATAAAATGTCAATGAATCCATGAATGTTGCAGAAGATATAAAAGAACAAGAGCCATAATACACAATTGTTGATCGCATAAATATCTATCATTAATTGTTTCAATAATTGTAAAAATGCTTTCTATTTATTTCAGTAAAAACGATTCCAAAATACTAAATATTTTGATTGGCTCTTTTATGACAAATATCAGTGTTGTCTCATACATTTAAAAATCAGAAATTATGTAAAAATCCAATATTTTCCTCCCCATAGAAAGACGCGCTAAAGCTTTTCGTCTTATTTCTTACAATATAACTTTACAAAACACATTTTGTGTCTTATACCATCTTTCAAACTTACCCTCTTAAAAATATTTTATAGATTTGTGCGCAAAATATTAATCTTAAAGAAATATCACTCGATCGTCGTCGTGAATAATTAGCCGTACCTGTGCTCGTTCACCATTGAACACTTCCAACCAGGCGATGTCAGTGTCATCGAGGTCGTAAGCGCAGGCCTTCTCCGCTCTCGACGGAGTGGTACTTAAATGATGATCCTCCGTGTTAAAATAATCATCACGAGATATTCTTATCAACTTTTTAGGCCTGAAAAACACGGGACAATTTTGTTACGAGACATCGCACAGCGCCCCTCAGCGATCTCTAACGATCGCGGTAGCTCGCGCAGTGTACGCATTATGCACTCACAATTTGAATTCAGCTTGTAACTTCAAAGGAGACGTTTGCGTGACAGTGACCATCGGTTCGGGAAGAGAATCCGGATTAACGGGTACTTGAACACCTCTCTCCCACTCCTGCTTCCACTGATCAGTTATAACCCAATACTCGTTTGGACTCAGCGGCTCACTGTCTGGCAATTTCATAGCGCTGATCAGGTCTTTACGAAATAACTCCGCTGGTGCCTCCGCGGACGATCGGTTGTATATACTGGGAATCTTGATATCGCTGACAGATCGGGCGGTCCAGGGTGCCCCCCCTTGGCTCGACGACGCCATCGTTTCCTCTTCTTCTGAGGGCCCCATGGTCGCTGCCAGTGCCGATGAACCAGTGGCAGCTGGGCCCAATCTACATTTGCGCCTTTTAACAGCGCCCGGACAAGACGCCAGATCATTGTCGTTTCTATGCCTCTTGCCTCGTTGTGCCATTCTACTATGCCAAATAAGCTAGTGATACGTGGCACATGCAGGTGAACTGTGTACACCCTGAAATAACATAATTGCGCACCTCTTGAGCATGTCCCATCTCCCTCCGACGTGAGATTTCAAAAATATCGTGTACGAGCAAACTTACTACATAGTTATCCATATATTTATTATCTGGAAAGCAGATTATCTTCAGAACTGAAACATAAAAAGCAGAGCGTATCGCTTGATTCTGAATATAGATCGTTCAGAGAGTCGCAAATGGTGCGAGATGAGCAGTCTAGTACAAGACAAATCGGTTCAGGTGACAGCTTTAGTAAAATAACGCGACGTCGCAAACGTCAGTTACACGAGCGTCCAAAATTTGACGTCATCCGTTTGTCGTCAACTTCGCTTGGCGTTCCACGTTGTTGTTTAGACTGACACTTTAGAAGCCACGTTTCCTTGCCGATCTCACTACTCTGGGTCAAGTATCCTAGGCAATAACCTAGACCAACTGGTGCATGCATTTTAATGAGAAAGAAAGGAGCCGTAGATGCCACGGGGAGAGAGACACATTCTTTGCGACACGATACACGGGGGATTTATATCTCAGGTGAGAGAAAAGAAGGAGAAAGTACCCAAAGTATACGAGGAATCGCTGCATGGATCGTCGAGAGGCGGGAGTCACAATTCATTGGGAAAGAAAAAAAGAACAGGAGCCATGTGCAGGGCCGCCGAGGTAAGAGAACGTGCGGAAAACGTCAAGTTTGCGAAAAGAACGAAGGGAGAAAGGGGGCGAGACACGAAATGAGGTGCGGATCGACTGAATCTCGGCCCCAGAGCGACAGATACACAGAATCGTTGGCGTGCGCCGAACTTGACGTACGGATGTCACGACAGTTTGACGCGCGGCGGAGCGAGAGCGGCGAGAGAGCGACGGTGTGTGTCGCGCGATACGCGCCCCGCGCGGAAGGGTTAAGGACGACGCGAGGCGCGCCCGGGCTTCTCCAACGCGAGCGTGCGTCGCGTCGCGTCGTCGTCGCCGTCGGGCCTAGTAAACACGCGACTCGCGCGCGCGTCCGCCGCCGCGGAGAGGGTTCCGCCGTCCGCGGGGGAGAGGGGGGAGGAAAAGAGGTTATAAAAAAGTCGCAGCACCGCGACTGGATGCGTGTGTCGCGCCGCGGTCCCGGCGGCCGCGGGGCGCGACGGCCGAGGTCTCGCGTGGCGCACCGCGAGACGCGGGTCGCGAACGGCGGCGCGGAGCGGGCGACGCGGCGGACGGCGAGCCGCGGCGGTCCGCGGCCGCGGGATCGCCGACGCGGGGTGCCCCGCGAGCGGTCGTCCGCGGCCGCGATCATGTAAACATTGGGCGCAGGAGAAAGAGAGAGAGAGAGAGAGAGAGAGAAGAGGAAGAGAGAGAACGGGGCGCCCCGCGATCTCGCGCTCTCGCGTTAGCTTCTCGGCTCGCGGCGTTTTTAACGGGGGGCACACATTCACACACACTCACTGCACGTGTCGACGGTCGAGCGGGCCGCGGGCGGCGTTAAATCTCATTGTACAGACACGGGAGATGACGGTCGGCACGGTGATGCAATTGCGTACGGCTTACGAGAATGCTCACGGCTCCATTACGTTGCTGCTGCTGGTGCTGGTGGTGCTGGTGCTCCTGCTGCTGCTGCTGCTGCTGCTGCTGCTGCTGCCCGACAACATTGACAATACAGATGGCAGCAGCGTCGCGCGCACTCCACCACAAGTCTCCCCCGCGCGCACACACACACACACTTGGGAAGACCATTAAATACCTTATTATTGATCTATTAGCCGGATATATTTCCGCGCGCGAGGCGGCACGTGATCGCGAGCGGGCGTGAAACCGGCCGCGGGGCCGCCGGCGGTCGCCGTGCGCGCTCCCGAGCCGCCGCGAACACGCCGACGGGCTCCTGTCCGCAAGTGCGTAACGGCCTCGTCCTCTCTCTCTCTCTGTCACGGCAGCCTAACCAACATGTCCTCATTAGCGATTCCAGGCGGGCGGCACAGGCCAGTCCGTTACTCACTCCGCCGGCGGTCCGCGCGCTACCCCGCGACGGGGCTACTTTCGACGGCCGGCCGCGGTACGGCGGACGCTCGTGCTCGATCGCGGTACGCACCAAATCAATAATATATTTACATAAAAGTGAATACTGGCGTTTGGCGCCATCATGCCTGAAAAAATAACTGTGGAAGTACGGTGTCACGTGACCAACCCAGCGAGATCTCGCGATCTCGCCCGCGCACGGCTCATGCAAAGCCCGTGAGATCGCCAAGCCGACAGGTGTGTCCGGCCTGCACGCGCGCGCGCCCCACCCGCGCCACCTGTCGGCGCGCGTGCGCCAGCCCGCTGCTCTCGAAGGGCTCGGGCAAATTTACACAGTGTAGATTATGTATAAAGAATCTCATTGGTCCCAGAGCGGACAATCTGCAATGTTAAGCCCGCTGCAGACGATGCTATTTTTTCTGCTGGATTGCTTGCGATTTAGTAAATTACTATCATTGCACCACTCAGCATTCAGGATTCCTAGTAATTTACTAAATTGCAAGCAATCCAGCAGGAAAAATAGCATCGTCTGCAGCGGGCTTTATTTATATCGAGCCTATGTTTCGAGCGCGCCCTGTTAAACTCGGGGGAGAATTCAAGCAATATAAGCCTAGTTTACATCGTGCCACTCGATACGCGTCAACCAAATTGTGAATAACCCGTAAATCGGTTCACGATGTAAACTAGGCCACAGCGGAGAAAAACCTGAGAGCGACCACGCCGGCGTTTTACTTGATACCGTTCCGGGAGACACTGTTTTGCACGCCCATTTTTACTTTTGGAACTATACTTTATAACGCATTTTCTGACTCCGCCGATAAAATTTCCACTTGGTGCATGTCTGTGCTGTGCATTCTGACATCTAATTTATAAAATTTACATTGTCTACATGAGAAAAGTTGATGTAAATATCATGCAGATAATTTATGTTGATGTAATTTTGAATTTCACAGCACAGTCCTGAAAAATAGGCGTAGCGTGGACACGCACAAAGTGGAAACTTTATCGGCAGTGTCAGAAGATACATAGCAAAATAGCTCCAAAAATAAAAATGGACGTAAACGCGCGCAAAATAGTCTCTTGAAACGGTATCAAGTAAAGCCCGTATCAGACTACGGATTAGGATTGGGATTAGATTGAAATTTGACCAATCACAGTAAAGTTTACTAATCGCAAGTTCAGTAACTTTTACTCTAATTGGTATTTTTGGGAAATTGGTAAAATTTCAATCTAATCTCAATCTCAATCCGTAGTCTGATACAGGCTTTAGGCTGGGTCTAAATAGGATGTAGTAAGTCGTGTCGGAAGAAATTGACCAATCACAGTTCATTATTCTTCGACCGTAACGAGAATAATGAACTGTGATTGGTCAATTTCTTCCGACACGACTTACGACATCCAATGTAGACCCTGCCTAAAGCCAACGGCACACGATACTATTTTTCCTACTGAATTGCTTACGAGAGCCAATCAGAATGCAGAGTTCTCGATCACTTAAATTCTGAGTAGTTAGCAGTCTAGGTATATGAGTCTGCGGTTGACATTTACTTTCTCAGAGGGCGCATTTATCTCTGAAGCTTGTCGGTCGCTCTCTAGTCTCTCTCTAGTTTATGCAAGTATGTCTGCGAGTAGGCTATTGCTGTTGCTTCGCATGCGCGAGAGACTGTACCTGATTCGCGGCACTGGAGGATGAATTTTGAAAAGGAAGATGAATAAAATTGTTATGATTTGCGGAATAATTTCTGCTTACTTGCTAATCACACCTAGATCTATATGTCGTGTTGCTACATATTTGAATATCGTTGGAATATACGGCTAATAATGTGATAAACAAATTGCGATTTATCCGTCCAGCCAATATATTTTTATAAAGTTAGAACTTCTGGAGACGCGTATAAGTACGCGTGACAATTACGCCGTGATGCATTACACAGATTTCAAATATTTGATTATAAGTATATTTGATTACACCGTGGTCCTTACATCTACGTTCACACTCTCGCAGAGCTTCCATGGTGAAGAGGAAGAGGAAGACGGCCCGATTTGTAAAGCTGTCAAGAGATTCACGAATCAACGCTACGAGCACCTGGATAAACACAGAGATGTAACAACAATACTGCCAAACGTATTCCCTTTTTTTTCCCCCTTCGAATATTGCATATATTGCATCTGTGTAATTTCAGATGATCTCAAGTATATGGACAACGTTATTCTGTCGCGGGACAGTCGGCGAAGACGATATACAAATGTAGTGGCAAGCTCTGCTGTCTTCAGAATATATTCATATCTGACGCTGCCCCAATTACAGATAACTAATATTCGCACCATACTCTTTTGCATTCTTGACTATAAAAATATCAGACGAGTAGATGAGATATTCGAAAATATTAGATTCGTTACATTTCATTTTGTGCCTTGAGTTTTGTTACTTAGATTTCGACCTGAACTTCTCGTCGCGCTTAAATGAATCTTACTTCAATATTATACTTGCGTGTCGCGACGATATCTGTATTTTTTATTTCACTATTTGTCTCACGGTAACATGATACTACGAGTTTGTTAAATTGGACACAGTTCTGCAACGCGGAACCAATTCCAGAGTCTTACTTTTCTGCTGGAGCAAATTTTGTGAAACACTAAAGAAACAAAATTCTAGGCCAACATTATGTCTCAAGTTATATCAACCCAGTTATAATTGTTCTCAAATAGAATTCCACGTGTGCACTTCTTTTTATAGGTAAAAGTGAGAGTTTCGTGGACAAATTTTTATTTTTGCATAACATATTATTGTGGGCCTTCGTGATTTTGGAGCAAGAACCAAAAACTCATGAAATGATGCTTGGTTTGCCATTGTAGAACTGCATCCAATTTATCTTTTCGTCTAGTAACATGAAATATTATGATGGAGCTTGTATTGGAATATTAAAGTATATAACATTTTGCAAATAAGCCCACAGGTAGACGACCGGTAAATGTTTCTAGTCAAGATTAGCTAAATGAAGTACGAGGAAAGAGACTCTACATCAACGATTAGTTGACAATCTTGGCGTTGGATGATGAATGGAAAATCGTAAATGATTCTTGTGGAATAATTACTAGTCAATAACTGTATTAATCTAAGGCCCGATTTCACCAACGTCCCTTAACGTCAATCTTGGCTCAATTTATTCTTTGTCTCTTTCTAAGGAAACAGAAAGAGATGAAAGGACAAATGAAGCCAAGTTTAAAGTTAAACAACGTTGGTAAAACGAGTAAACTGCTCGAAAGTGATAAGACTGCGGTAAGACTGTTAATTATGATTACGCTATGATAGTTTATACAGTGATATTTTGTAAACTGTGATAATCTGTACAAAAAATCGTAGAGCATTTATATATATTTTTATGTAAAAGCTAACACGATGTGTATGCTATTTGTCCATGTTAATATAATAATAAGCAAAGTAAGACGCACGATTCTGATAGTAGACATTACTATCCGGGGCAAAGTTACGAGTCACTCAAATTGGAAAAAAACAACATAATTCGGTAATTATTTTTATTTTCGTCTTCAATCTTATATCAATGTATAAAGCAATATTAAAATTTTGTATTAGTAAATCAGTACGTTGGTCGATTCTTGAAGAGAGTAATTTTACATGAAAAAATTAGAAATAAATACAAGAGAGTATAAATAGAGACATAAAATTACTATAATACACATTATATAAAACATTAATTTTAGTATCTCTTTCAATAATACAATTTTATTCGAATAAACGTTTGATGACTAAAATTCATTCGTATAACTATTATTCGTTTCCGTTGAGCATGATTCTTTTGACAAAAAGAAGAGAAAAAAGGGCTTGATTAGTTTATCACAGGTACAAAAACATATATAAAGAAACTTGGGAAATTGGATCGAAAGAAGAAATACATTTACATGATTAAGACTACTAGTGAATTCAATATATATACTACTAGCTGTAACGTATGATATAGGCAGTGTCATAAGAAATAGTTCATCGGTGACTTATTTCCCGTATCTATTGCATTCTCCTTTCGTATCGAGCACAAGTCGAATGAAGTATAAGCCTGAAAACCTCCATAAAATCAGTCAATCCGGTGCACTATCGAGGCAATATATAGCTTTAAAGTCGATGTATTACAAACTACAAAACCTAGCTCTGTATTCTGTAAGATTTACGCTCTATAAGCTCTATAGCTCTTTCGTCTTTTCGCCACAGTGCTGCACAGCTTATAGAGATACAGCGTTACAGAACATTTTTACAGAACACCCCCTTAGCTTACTTGTTCTTCGCAGAGATGCACGCAGCCGTCGCTGACGAGCATCCGCGTGGAACTTTGTAACATTACATCGTTATAAACAACAGAAATTTAACTGCGTATATAATCTTTACTAAAGCTTCATTCATTTCTTTTCTAGAAAAGTTTCTTTACCTAGAAAAATGTAAACGTACGCGAATCATAATACGGAAGAATAAGTGCGAGTAACAAATGCGCAATATTTAAAAACTTCGATTGCGTATAGCAGATAGAGAATACTGTACAAAGACACAGATAATGCATATCATATATTATTATTTGTCCGTTTGTTCTGGCTCTCGCTTCATACTGACGTGACGCGTCTGTCGCGATTTAGACGCACTTGGCGTAAATTATTGTTATATCGAAATCACTCACGATCCACATGGATGTCTTCAGGCGAATATTTCCGCTATTGTGCTTTTGGAAGAACCATACCATCGTCATCATGGTTTCCATACCATCATGAATAAGAACGAAGCACACGACACTCAAAAATTGTTTGATTAATTACATTCGATTTTGTGGCTTTTGTTTGAATATAATTTTTCACGTATAGGCGTAATCGATCACCGCGCGTGATGTATATAGCTGTATTATATCCAACTTACTCTATACAAATACAAAATCGTTTATATTGTCCCACAGTACACATGAAACGGCTTACGCTTAGATGTGGTGTGTGTTGTGTGTTCGTATTTATATATATAGTCTAGTCTAAAAAATCTCGCGTATAATATATACGTATATACTAAGCACGACGTATGTGTATAAAATTACATGTAAAACGAAATCGATTTATAGATCGCGATACGCGCAAGCGACTCGAGGATATAGAGTTAGCGTGTCGATATTTTTTTCCCCCGCGATTCTCGCCTTCGCGTTTAATATAATATAATGCTCCCGCTCGTGCGCCAATACGCCGATTATATACTACTGAGAATTTGCGTTAATCGGTTATTCCATACAGTAACTATAATCATCACATTTACTATCGTATATTGAAAACCGTCGTACGTCTCGACATAAAAATTCAATCATGCAATGGTGTATACGTTTCCTTCTCGTCGTAAGGCCGTGTTTCTGCCAGGCCCGTGAGGTGCACGCTGATCACGCAGCGGTCTTTCAAAGATCTTCCAAAAAGGACGCGCGGATGGTACGCAGGCGGAGATGTAAATGTATACGAACTTGTAGAATTTGTCGCGCAGGATTTCCCGTTCAAGTTGTGTGCAACATCTGTCGTACGTGCGTGTGTGTACGTACGTGTGGCGTGTGTCGAGAAGTGTATACCGGCGATTCACGCAACTTTGGATTATTTCACCTAACAATCATGCAGTCGTAAAGTCGTATCAATCAAGGACTTATTCACATATTAAAATTCACTCTTATCGCGTACTTGCTCGTAGATTAACTGCTATGCTTCCAAAAAAACAAAAAAAAAATTTCATTCCTTGATAAAACCTTACTTAGTGACTTAGATATATATTTATATAGATTTATGTATACTATACGCCCACATGCGGATGCGATGAGATAGAGAAGGGACGAGAGCGATGACTTCTGCGATCGAGGAACATCACAGGAGGAGGGCGGAGGAGACTTGCAGGTGGGAGGAGGGGGAGAGAGATGCTCGTTTTGATTTTTCACCCGGCTTTCGGTGCGGCTTTACCTCTGCACCGTGTTTATCACGTCCTTTATCGTGTTCTGCACGTCGCACAAGAGTCTCGTGTTCTCGGTGATGTTGCGCGTGCCGGCAGCTCGCAGCTGCCTCGCCTGCAGCTCGAGCCGGGTGAGCAGGTCGCGGAACTGGAATCTCGCGTGCGGCGCGATCGCCGTGTCCGTCAGGTTGACGCACATGCCGTGCAGCAAGCCGACCTTGTCGGACAGCTGCAGCCAGCTGGCCATGACGATGGTGGGGCTGCCCTTCAGATTCAGAATACTGTTCTCTATGACGTTCGAGATCTCCATCACGCTGTGCTTAGCCCCTTTCGTCGACTCGCCGCTGGTCTGCTTGCCGCAGTCGTCGTCACCCTGCGACTTGTTGCAATTCGGCGTGGCGTAGATCGAGGAACCGAAGTGTTTGCTGGAGGGTCCGAGCGGCTTCAGCGGCTTCGCCGGCACGATCGGCTTTTCCACTTCCAGTGTCACCGAGGACGACGAGGTCGGGGGCCAGATTCGCGTGTCGCCCTTGCTGGTCGAGCTCCTGGTCGAGGCACCGCTGTGATCCTCCGGCGAGTCCTCGCTCGCGACGTCGCCGGTGTCCTGCCTGCCGCTCGCACATCTCATGTTTAATTTAGGACTAAGTGGTTGGTTATCACAAGAAGCCTCTTTGTTCTCCCACAATTTCTTTAGGCTACTAATACTGCCGGTGCTGCGGCGCTTGTCATCGTTCGCGTCGTCCACGCCGGACGACGAGTCCGCCGAATCCGCGACGTTACTCCCCTGCGTGCCGTCGTCGAAGCGCGACGACTTGCTCCTCTCGTCCGCCGCGGACCTCTCCTTGTCGGCGTTGTCCACCTTCCGCAACCGGGCCTTGAAGTCGATTATCTGACCGTCTGGATTCTCCTCCCTCTGCGGATTACTCCTCTTGTCCACCTTCTTTAATTTGAAACCTACGCTAGTGGCACTCAGTATGTGGCCTTCCGTAATCGGCGAGGTCAACGGGATCTCCTTGTGACCGCCACTCCTCTCGGCGTGTACACTCGTGTGAACGTGTTCCTGAACGCTGGACACGTCGTTGCTCCTCAGCACTGAGATCGCATACTCGCTCGGGACGATATGCTGTCTATTGGCGGAATCCATGCTGAAGCTGGCGCACAACTCGGACAGGAGCTGCGACGCCGGATCGAGCGGCGCCGTCGACAGGGGCGCGTTGCTGCTAGCCAAGACGCTGCCGACCTTCTTCGCGGAACCGGTACCACCATGCTTCATGTCCGCGCTCTGCTTGATCTCGTTGATCAGCTTGAGCTCCAGCATCTCCTTCATGCCGGGTTTGGACTCGAAGGTGTCGGTGATACCGGCGCTGCTCACGGCGCTGTCGATGGGCGGCGGCGGCGGCGGCGGCGGGGGCGGCGGTGGCGCTTCCTCGGGTGCCGCGATCGTCGCTTCCGACAATTCCGCTCTCGTCGTCTCCTTTGGCCTGTAAACTAATTTCTTCTCGTCCGCGGATTTACCGCCGCTGCCGCCGCCGCCGCCGCCGCCGCCGCCACCGCCGCAGTACGCATCGTTGGTGGTCGTTTCCCGGCGTCGCAGATTCACGCCGAATCGCGAGCTAGCCTCCTTTACCGACGGCTCCGCGTTCCTAACGTCATTATTCCTATCGTCCTGATCGTAATCGCTAATCTCATCTTTGCTACGCCATTCCGCTTTTACTTTCCTAAGCCCGACCGGCGAACTTGCGATCTTCGCGTGAGAGGTCTCGATGCACGGCGACGCCGTCACCACAGGTGGTGGCAGCTCGCAGTGATCACTGAAGGCTTCGTCCGGAGGGGGCGGCAGATCCAACGGCGGTGGCGGGAATTCCAGATCAGCCAGGGTTGGCTGGACCGACCTCGACGGGCTGGCGGTGCGGAAGCTGGAGTTGTTCGGTGCTCGGAAAGTCCGCAGGCCGATCCCTTCCGTGTTAGTCTTCCGGATACCTACGGCACGGCTACGCGGCGAGTTGGGCGGCTGGTAGGTATTCACCACTCCGCTCGAGGAATTGCTACGCGTCATCTGCGGCTGACTGCGCAGATTATTCTGGCGAGGTGAGAGGGAACGATGCTGCGGGATCACGTCGACAACGCTCGCGGTGATGATGTCCTGCTGCTGCTGCTGCTGCTGTTCCATGACCGCGTTGGACAGAGAGGACGCAGCGATGTTCTCCTGATTCGGCGGCATGCCACTCTGTCGTAGGGACTCGAGGTACGCCCCGATTCTGGCTCCCTTCGGCAGAGTGCCGTAGCGGTTAATCGCCCTCTTAACATTTTGCACCTCCAGCGCACCCACGTGTACCAGCTGAAATGCATTTTCACTCTAAAGTTGCGGGATCGCTGCCGCGGGATTGAGCATCGCAAGTTATTCAAGCAGTGCTAGATGCATTTACCATCGAAAACTTTACTTTGAGACTCGTATCAACACAGACATATAGGAATGTTATCGTTACGGGTAAAGACGGTATGTTTATGTGTCTAGGTATTTATATAGCTTTGAAATTGTGGCCGCTCAACGTAAGATCATTGTACCTTCTGAGGCAGTACTTCCTTAGACGTGTAAGGTCGAGATTTAATTTGTTTCTGATTGCACGGTAAGTTGGATACTGGTTCCGGCGAGGTTGACGGTTGGGGAACAAAGTTATGTTCTGCTGTCCCTTGCGACCCATCTCCATCGTCGTCCATATCGCAACCTCCTGTAGTAATTGACTGTGTAGCCATTGTCACGAGATCACGTGTGATACCTGAGTCGCCATTTAATAAGGTGTACTGTATACAATCTATTAGCTAACATATCTCTCCAGCATGTAAGCGCAACGCGTTATAGAGATTTCTGGAGGAAAGCTAAGAAAAGAACATTTGCGGCGCCTATCAATCTTAATCTCTGCTCTTCCTTCTCGTCACACTCCACCATTCATCCCAGGGTCATTCTCCTTTAATCGACAGTTAACAGCAGATCCCTAAGTTATGCTCTTTGTAATCCTATTAGTTATAGTTAAGAGTGCCATGACGTCGTCGACAATGAACAATCGGCAAAAATGGAAAATTGTGTATGACGTGTGTTAGTTTCATGAATGATATGTGATATTATGTATGAATAGAAAGCTCAGTAAACTCACATAACACTGCTTGAACACAGTTGAGTTTCATACGATGATTAATAACTCGAAATAATAACTGGCCGTTGCGCAGTCGAATGTCTCAATCTTTAGAATGAGAATAATTCAACGAGAAATCAAAATGTGATACATATCTAGAAATCTAAAACCAAAGGAAAAGAAACACGACGTTCTACTTGTATACCTCTGCAGAAACAAATATCATGCATGAGTATTATATGGAGCGTGTTGGGTTTGTAACTCAAGTACGATAGATAACATATGTATCGTCCCTTATTCGTATAAGTGGGGACGAAGAACTGCAGCTACAATTTACAGTATGTACGAGATGCAGACGCTCGAGTATATGCATTAATAAAATATATCCAAGTACTATTATATATATACATGTATATATATATATATATCGGAAATTAGTATTTGGCAATGTATTCAACATTCAAGTATAAATACTGGCTCGAGGAGAATGACCCACATTCATGAAGCCGTAAATCACTGTAGGCGGAGATGCATGTCAAAATTAAACTTAATCAACTGAAAGAGATTGACGAAAGAAATCAAATGGAAGCGGCATTCGTGCATTCATCATTACACTTAATTTGATATAGTGGAATACCTTCAAAAATCTTATCAATACCATTTAGATCTGTGCCATCGTCAAGCGTCATAGTGCTCACTTCGACATTTTGCTGGTCTTGTTCTTGATAGGCAGAATCTCGAAAAGAGCTGCACGATGATAGCAAGCTGTCACAGGAAGACACATAGCTTTGTTATACATCAAATCATAATTGTGTGTTTTACAGGGGTGGGAGGGGGGGGGGGAGATAATATACCTCGTTCGCTTGGGAGGTGCTGGCGCCTGCTTTCCTTTTTTATTGGTAGATCTTCGCATTTGAACCATATTACTATTACTCCTACTTGACAAGCCACCCACAAAAGTAGTCAGCTTGGTCACCGAACTGACTCCTTCTACATGAAATACATTTCGTCGAATAAACAATACTCTAGATAATTTTATAATGTGAAACGAGACAATAAGTTATATCCAAATATTCTATTTCAAAGAAAAAAAATTAAAAAATATGTAAAATTATTCATTAATTATTAGAATATATAAAACATTAAAACACGGCCCTTTTTTATCGGTGCAATTATAATTCACATCTTACATCTCAACGCTAATTATAAGACGTGTTGGATGAATCATTATCGATACCACAGCATTAAATATTACCTTGCGTTATGCCGGAAGAAGATAATTGCTCGGATACAAGAACGAGCCCATGTATATTTCCTGTACTTCCAGTTTGCGATTTTTTGTATGATAGCAATGGAATTTCCCCTCCACCTTGAAGCTGCTTCTCTACCTCTGCAATACGCACGGGACAATAAGAGCGTGATTCTTTACACAATACAATCGTCTACAATAGCCAAGCATTCACCTTCGGTAATACTCGATTCTTGAAACATATTTTCTAACGAGTGGTGTATTTCCTTAAAAGTCGGCCGATCTGCCGCTGACCACTGCCAGCACTGACGCATCAGATCGTAAACTTTCGGTGGGCAACCGGGGGGACATTCCATTCGGTAGCCTTTTTCCAACATGTGATAAACGTCCGTTAGGTCGACACCGGGATAAGGGGACATTCCGTAGGTTGCAATCTCCCATAACAAGATACCAAATGCCCACACGTCAGACTATAAAAATCACCGATCAATACTCGTAATTCAATAACACTGCAACGATATACATTAACGATCCCCGTACCTTTGTAGAGAATTTATTGTACGCTAGACCCTCTGGCGCGGTCCACTTTATGGGAAATTTCGCGCCGGCGTGAGCCGTGTACGTGTCGTCTCGCATGAGACGGGCTAGACCGAAATCCGCGACCTTGACGAGATGATTCTCGCCGACGAGACAGTTTCTCGCCGCCAGGTCGCGATGAATGAAGTTTCTGCTCTCTAGATAACTCATGCCGCTCGCGATCTGCGTGGCCATGTGCATCAGCACCACGGCATTGATCTGATGCTTACTCTCGTTCCGCAGGTAATCCAGGAGGTTTCCTTTGCTCATGAACTCCGTGATGATGTAGAACGGCGGCTCGCGCGTGCAAACTCCCAACAGTTGTACCAAGTTCCTGTGTTTCATCTCTTTCATGATGGCCGCCTCCTCCAGGAAGTCCTTGAGCGCCATCGTGTCCTCCTTGAGAGTCTTAACCGCCACGGTCATGTTGTATCTCTTCCAGACCGCCTCGTACACGTCGCCGTATTGGCCACCTCCTAATTTATGCCTCATCACTATGTCCGTCCTATTGATCTCCCATTCGTCCGGCTCCGGACTCAACGGGAAGACGGTAGGCTTGTTATGCTTTGGTGCAGGATACAGCAGTTGCGTTATAAGGCCGTCGGCAAGCATCGAATGATGGTGCACTAGCTCAGCTAGCGTGTTGAACTTGCTCTCCGTCGTGACAAACATCTTCCCTTCGCTGTCCTCGTTGATCCTGTAGTGGTACACCCGACCCTCGTATCTCAACGAGATGCTACGTTGCCCGGGACTGCTCTCCGATTCCCGTACGAGGAAACTGCCGTTTATTCCCGAACTCAGCAGATACTCCGCGGCATTTCTAGATATTCTTCCGTGGTACCAAGAGTGCTTCTCCAACGAGTTTACGGGGGTTACGTAATTCGACGGTACCCATCCAACTTGTCCGGTGCTCGAGTGTGCTTCGCACCATTCTCCGCTTTTGTTGTAACTTAGGATACGCACCTGTTCACCTGTTCAGCAAGATTCAAGAATAGAACTTGAACAATGTTACGCTTACAAACATCGACATACAGGTATCTAACACTTGGTTAACATTTTATAAAAAGCATGTCAAATACCCTTTTTCAGACTCAGTTGATTCTCCCCGCCAGCTTGGAAATCATACAGGGCGACAAATAACTGAGGATCATCCTCCTCTTGTGCCAAGAGATTTTCCTTGCTAGTCCATCTGCATAAAAATGGAAAATATCATTTCTAGGCTTAAATAAGCGGTGATACTCAATCTTGTAGATTATAAAACAAAGTATAGGGGAAAAAAAAAGATAAGCTTTGTAACAAGAATTGCCTCCGTATACTATTAAAGAAATAACATATTCATTCGTAGGAGTCTTTTACAGTCCAATTTTACAAAAGTATATAAAATGGCTGTTACATAAGCGTGCGTTATTTTAAACTGACCTGTTTGCGGCTTCCAGAAGCCCACTAGCGGACACACCGGCGTGCTGTTGAACATTAGCTTGCTGTGAGATTGACTGAACACTAGAGCCGCTTGGGGGATCACCTTCTGGCAACGCTGGAATGTGAGGTAGAGGTCTACTTTGCAAAAGCGCCTCTGCAAAAGACAGAAAACGGTCTTACTTGTGACTCACAAACGTATCGAGGAGAAGACATTTAACACCGAGTCTCCAAGCGGATCTCTGCTTATGTAACAATGCGGCACGTTGGGGAGGGAGTCTCGTGGTTACATTCAAAATATCCAAGTCGTACAGTAAGGACAGTCAACTAGTCGCAACGTTTTCGGAGTACTTTCGCGCAGGCTTCTAGTTTCCATCTGTCTGCCTACACGTACACAGCACACAGGCATACACACATGCTTGCATATCAGCTCGGCTACGTGCGCGCAACGTGGACGTTAGTTTACTACGCGAAAGTATTGTCGTGAAACTAGGATTCCCTCGAAACGCTGACGAGGTCCGCGAAGATGGCACGAGTGCAGAAAGGGGAGAAAACTCGCGGGACCGTCGCGCCTCGGACAGGGACACCCGGCGATACGAGCAAGTCTTGCCGCTCGACCCCGGGTGGACGACAGCGTGCGCGTTACTCACCGCTGTGCTCGGTGAATATGTTAGAGCCGACGATGCGCGAATCCTTGAGGTTCCTGGGCTTGCGCGTCTGCCGCACGGTGGACCCGGCGGGGATCACCCTGTCCTTGGTCTGCTGGGCTCCCATAGCGTAGTCCGCCGATTACCGTAGCATGCCCCTCCAGCAGCAGCAGCGGCGGTCGGCGCCGACCCGGGTCCGCGCGCGTACGGGCCAACCTCACTTCCGGCAGTCGGCAGGCGCCGGCGACGGGACCGACATCGTCGTCGTCGTCGTCGATCGCCGCCGTCGTCGTCGCCGCCGTCGTTGTCGTCGTCGTCGCCGCCGTCCGCGCAGCCCCGAGATCCGCGAGCGTCGGGCACGAGCGAGCGAGCGAGCGAGCGCGCGCGACCCACCCACCCCGATCGAAGATCGGCACAGATCACAGTGCGGGCCGCGGCGGGGCCATTCACATTTTTACATGTCAATTACCGCTCTCTCTCGCTGCCCCTCGCCATATTTGACAGCTTTTGACGTCGATTATTTAGTTTGTCGGTGCATTGCTGCGCGGCAGCACGACGCTGGGCGGGTTCTCAACAGTTCTCATGCGTTGTGCCCCCCGCGGGGTGCCCCCGTTCGCACGCTCCTAATTCCGCGGCCCGTCATCCGCGAACGTATCGATACTCCGCGCTCCCGGAGCCTGTCCCGACCTGTCCCTGCCTGCCCCGTCCCGTCCCGTGCGCGCGACTCGCGGAAAGGACTGGCGCCAAGTGCCGACCGCCGACACATCCGCTCCGTTCGGCGGAGCGGATTTTTTTTATCGATCCAGTCTTACTTCCACAGCTGGACGTCTCTCTCTCTCTCTCTCTCTCTCTCTCTCTCTCTCTCTCTCTCTCTCTCTC